AAATCCTTTTGGTTTCCTTACTTCTCATAGCATATTTGAAGTACCTAGGATTCTATTGCATTTCCTACTTAGGAATTAGAAGCCAGTTTGATTTTAGACATAGGTGACGGTAACAGTTTTTTTTTTTTAAGATTTATTTATATTTATTTATTTATACAAGCACTGGGTACAGTCAGAAGCGCGGGAGGGTGAGAGAATTCATCAGAGCCAGAGCGGGGAGCAGAGAAGGCGAAAGGACCAAAATACACTGCTGAGGGGAGCAGCGGGCGTCAGGAGAGGTCTGCGCGCCATGTGGGACCCTCCTCCCGTGGCCGGGGAGCAGCCGGGGATCGAACCGGCGCTGCAGAGGCTGCGGGCAGCTTCGCAACCCAGCGCTCAACCGCTGTGCCACCGGGGAGGCCCCAGTGATGGTAACAGTTTTCATATTTACATGTATAATTTTATTTTTTAGGCATTTCACCTTTAACAAGTATTTATTTTTTGTCTGTAATCTTATTTAAAAAATAAATACAACTTGAACAGCTTTTTTAATCCACTAGGGTATCCTACATTATTTTACCCTTAGATGTAAAATAGGTTTGTACAGCTGTAAAATACAATTGTAATGGTATAGTCAGCCAGCATGCAGTCTCTGCAAATCCTTCTTACTTGTAGTTTCTGCAAACCCATTCAATTGCAGAGATGTGAAAAGGAAAACTTTGAGGAGATTTTTAATTATTTTGGCTTCTCTAATTCTTACGAGATAACAGCTCCATCTTAAAAACTAGTGTTAGCCCTATGAAAGAAGGGATCTGTTCTGGTTTAGTAAGCTTGCTACTTCCCCACCTAGAATGGCAGTGTCAGTTATTTGTTGGATGGATGAATAATAACTGGATTTAAAATAACTGATAAAATTGTTATTAAAGATATCTTGAAGGATGCTCTCCTGCCCACCTGTGACTATGCAGGAGCCTCTCTTATTTTCCTGATAAACCTGTCCATTTAAAATGCTTTAAAAAAAAGGTTTCTTGAAGGACCTGATAAATGATTATAATATTTTATTCTCCCAAATCGATTGAGAAAGCTATAAATTCCTGACGTATTGATGTTAGTATCTTCATTAAGTACTTTTACCTGGGGCAACAGTGATAAGACTGATGTTTAAGTTGCAAAATTATGTAACAGGGAAAGAAAAGGTTGCTGATGGTAGAACTTGCTTGCCTTTAAATTAGATTTGAAGAAATAAGACTTCAGAATTATATAATTCCAAAGGAAAAGTTTATAATACCTTGCAAATAGAAAGCTTGAAATATGATTGCAAGCTGCAAGTTTTCTTTCCTTAAAACACTTTATTTGGAGTGAATGGGAATAACTAAAATTAAACAGTAATTTTTCTAAATGATTAAAAATATATTTATTTTTAAAAGTTTTTTTGTTTTAATTTATACAATAGCTGGGGTACAGGCCAGAGGCGTGGGAGGGTAAGAGGATTCACCAGAGACAGAGTGGGGAGGCGAACAGGCAGACAGACCGAAAGCACTGCTGAGGGGAGCAGTGGGCGCGACAGGAGAGGTCTGCTGCACCATGTCTGATTCTCCCTGGCCGGCTGGGAATTGAACCTGTGTTGCAGAGGCTGTGGACAGCTTCACAGCACTGTGCTCAACTCACTGCGCCACCAGGGAGGCCCTATATTTATTTTAAAAATGAAAATCATGCAAGTGAAATTTGACGACTAATTTTATTCACAAAGAAAATACAAGGTTACTTACTTTTTTTAAAAACCAATGAAGATAAGTCATTTGGTATATAGAGTGTAGATAAACTTTTATATTTTCGAAAATGTATTTGTCAGTTTTTACTAATGCCAAACATTGTGTTTTATGCTTTTCATTTCAAACATTTCATTGAAGTGTGAATAGAACTGGAGACTGCTGAACATATACAGCAATTTGTCATAATTCCTTTGTTAATAATGTTTCAAACTGTTGTCAGAAACTTTTCTACCAGGTTTAGAAAGTGTAGGGTAGCATTTGAAGGTGTTTGCTGATTTTATATTAGTGGATTACTGTTTGAAAATGTTGCTAAATACAAACTGAATGAAATAAATACTTAAAAGTCTGAAATTGGAAAGGAGTCTTGGGATAAAAGTTGGATTAAATAACTTATTTTCAGAAAGGAGGTTGGTATAACAGACCCAATGAGTGACATTTGCTTGTTAATGGTGGATTTCCCAGAATAGTGTCAGGAGGGAAATTTTCTTCTAATTAGCAGGTTCTGTAGTCAGAATGTTTAATAAAACATGTCTGAATGGGTTTCCAGCTTTTCTTAGAGAAGGGAGAGAGATCTTTGGGAGAGCCACAGTGGTTAACTTAATACTCTTCCCTCATTTATTATATTAGATTTTGGAACTAAACATAGATCTAATGAGATTTTTTTTAAAGGTGCCTGTGCTTATTGATAGTTAAAATTCTTAAATTTGGGAAAGGCCTTTTAATTCTTCTCTTCATATTTATTCCAGATTGTTCTGTGAAAGATTGGTGTCTTTTCAGTCTGATAGTCAGTGACTACACACTGGTACAGATATGCAGTCGTTAAAATATGGGAATAAATTTGTCCTATTAGTAAGTAGCTGCTGCCCCAAGGGTGGATCCCCATTTCCTCACTCTTGTAGTCTCTCCCTGAATACTGCTGCTCTACTCCTCATTCTATGGCAACTAAAAACTTAAGAGGGGAGAGGAAGAAGGGGCACAGAACAGTGCTTGTATGCTCTAAATGGACACTGGTTATTGTTCTGATTGTTCATTGCTTGTTGTTTATCAATTACTAAATATTCCAGCTGTCTCCCCTGGCAATACATGTGAAGAAAAAATTCAAGTTTGGAAAGTACAGAATGAAAAAAGATTTTTGATAAAAGAACATTTTTAACATGTAGTATACTTTTGTACCCCTCTTCTGACCAGGAAATTCCTTTATAGAAGACATACAATCTTACAGACCATTAATTTCTACAGAGCACAGTTTGTGAGTGCTGCTCTAGCATTCTATGAATGTATATTTGTGCCAATGTAAGGCAGGTGAGGTACATTAGCAAATACATAGATAAGTTCTGGGACTTAAAATGGAGATATCTCCAACTGATAATTTGTTCACACCTCTATGTGGTAAATAGATGACTGACTGAAATCTGTTCCTTTTTGATTTTATTATGGGAAGAAACATGTGTGCTCCTGCAGTTGTAAGTTCTCACCAGTTGAGGAAAATGGTGCATAAAGAGTTTGAATAAGTAGATAACAAAGTGCTTATGTAAGGATGGTTGCTTTTAAGGATTGGATGAAGATATTAGATTGTCAGATTTGAAAAGAGAGCACACAAAAACATAAGATAGTAAAATGTATGAGTCCCAAAATGGCACAGAGAATAAAAAGAATGTGAGAAACCTTCCCTGATGACCAGGGAAGGTTTAATAGAAGCCAACCTTGAAGGATGAATTAAGTAAGACAGGCGTAGGGCACAGTGGTTTTGATCAGAAGAGACAAAGGCAGGTGGGAAGACTAGAAAAAAAGCAGTGGCTTAATTGGAATATGTGTTTGATAAATTAGAAAGGTAGAGATTGGCTGGATTGGTTGGGCCTTAAGTATAAAGCTAAGAAGTAAAGAGAATGAGATACTCTTAGATTTTTGAACAGAAGAGTGATGTAGTAAAAAACGTTCTTTTGCAAAGGTTAAATGTGATGGCAGCATGCAAGATGGTTGGAAGGGAGAATGTTAACCAGATAAAGCCCATTTCTCAGCGAAATTAGCATTTCATTAACATATATATAGAAGAATAATTGTAGCTTAAACTAGAAAGTGAGGATCATCAAATAGAACCCAATCAAATGTGGATTTCCATAGTAGTTGCAGATGCTTCAAGACCTCATGTTTCTCACGCTTCATTTCTATTGGGTGTTAAAATAGAGACCTAAGAGACTAGGTATAATCTTTTTTTTTTTTTTTTTTTTTTAACTGGTAGCGGTTAGGCAAAGTTGCGGCTGCTGATCAGAGTGTACTCTGATAGCGCTTACAGTAACACGTTAGAACAAATAAACTGCCTGAAAACTGCAAGATATTCCCAAATCTGTTAGTGGTTAAGAGCACGCATTATAGAGTTAAAATGCCTTCAGTGCAGATTTCAGCCCAGCTGCTTACTTGCTGTTTAAGTGACTTAATCTTAAGACGCAGGCCTTTGTGTCCTTCTCTGTAGAAATGTACATACCTCAGAGGGTTGTTGTAAGATTTTAGTTAATCAGTTCATGTAAGGTGCTTAGAGTATTTTCTACCACATGGACCATGCTCTGTAAAGTTAATCATCATTATCCATGCGTACTTGTCTGTCCTCTCCCTGTGGAGGGACTCTAAGAGATGGGTGACTGCTTTTGTTACATATAATGTATAAGTTCCATGCTATTGCACATTGCTTTGTCAGTAGTCCGTTAGTGTTGACAGGTTTTCATCTTTTAATAGCTGTTTAATAACAGAAACCTAATCATAATTGTCATCTGTAATTTCTTAGATGTGATTTCAAGGAATACTGTCTGGGAGAAATGGATGGGTCTTTTAAAATTTTAGGTTTACAATTTTAATTTTCATTATATGTACATCTGATAATACACATAATAAGTGTGTGCACATTTCTAAGTATTTTAATATCTTCATCTTTTTTTCCAGTTTTAAAGTGTGAAATAAATCTCCAGTGTTTTTCAAGATTACTTAAACGGAGTTGTAATTACCACTCAGCACCTAGGACAGCACCCAGCACACTGTACACGAACTCTGCCTTGAGATTTGGGGTTTGTGTTCTGGATTCAGGAAAGAAGAGAAAGTTTTGGGGAAAGTTTAAAATCCTCATAAGCACTTACTCTAAATGTGAAATGCAGAATGGTTTCATGGCTTTGTTTCAAAATGTTTTACACTGGCTGATAGAACCCACTTCATGAAGTAGTTTGAGTTAAAATGATCTAATATTTGTGTTTTAACTTTCAGCTTTGTGTTATTCTTGGAAAATTTCGCACCACTTGTGAATTCCTTGAACCTGGGCATTGCAAACCCACTTCTGTTGGGCCCATCTCCTTTGCACTTTGCTCAGATTAAGACTCAGTTGGCGCTTCAGCAGCTGAATGCCGTTGCCTCACATAGCTCAGCACCACCTTATACCTTATTAAATCAGGCTTTCTTGAAAATAGCCATGTCGAGACCCAGGTTTAATCCTCGAGGGAACTTTCCACTTCAGAGGCCACGAGCACCTAACCCTTCTGGGATGAGGCCTCCAGGACCATTTATGAGGCCTGGATCTATGGGTCTTCCAAGATTCTACCCAGCAGGGAGAGCCCGTGGCATTCCACACAGATTTGCTGGCCATGAATCTTACCAGAACATGGGACCACAGAGAATGAATGTTCAGGTAACTCAACACCGAACTGATCCAAGATTGACCAAAGAAAAATTGGATTTTCATGAAGCACAGCAAAAGAAGGGGAAGCCTCATGGTAGCCGGTGGGATGATGAGCCTCATTTATCTGCATCAGTGGGAGTGAAACAGAGCTCTATAACACAGGTTACAGAGCAGAGTCCTAAAGTGCAGAGCCGCTATACAAAAGAGAGTGCCTCAAGTATCTTAGCAAGTTTTGGATTATCTAATGAAGACTTAGAAGAACTTAGTCGTTATCCTGATGAACAGCTGACACCTGAAAACATGCCATTAATTTTAAGGGATATAAGAATGAGAAAAATGGGGCGCCGATTACCTAATTTACCTTCACAGAGCAGAAATAAAGAAACGCTTGGTAGTGAGGCAGTTTCAAGTAATGTGATTGATTATGGGCATGCAAGCAAATATGGTTACACAGAAGATCCACTTGAAGTACGTATTTATGATCCGGAAATTCCAACTGATGAGGTCAAGAATGAATTTCGGTCACAGCAGAGCATTTCTGCATCTGTTCCAGCTCCAAATGTGATATGTAATTCTATGTTTCCTGTTGAAGATGTATTTCGACCATTGGACTTCCCCAGTGAGTCCTCCAATAATCAATCCTTTTTCCCAGTTGAGAGTGGAACCAAGATGTCAGGCTTACATATTTCAGGAGGACAGTCAGTCCTTGAACCTGTAAAATCCGTTAACCAATCAGTTAACCAGACAATGAATCAGTCTCTGATTCCTCCCTCTATGAACCAGCAACCTTTTTCATCGGAATTAATTTCAGCTGTAAGCCAACAAGAACGAATCCCACATGAACCTGTGATTAATTCATCTAATGTACATGGACCATCAGGAGGAAGTAAAAAGAATTACCAGTCAGAGGCTGACATTCCCATTCAATCTCCCTTTGGGATTGTGAAAGCATCATGGCTACCAAAGTTTTCACATGCTGATGCCCAGAAGATGAAAAGACTTCCAACACCTTCTATGATGAATGATTATTATGCAGCATCTCCAAGAATATTTCCACATTTGTGTTCTCTGTGTAACGTAGAATGTAGTCATTTGAAGGTGAGTGTTTTTAAAGATCACTGTATAATGATACTCAGCGCCCAAGTTTCCTCTAAATTCTAATGTGTATGCTTGGTGTTAACTAGGCATTAAAGAAATGACAAATTAATTTTTATTGCACATCAACACTTAGTTGTAATCTAAGTAGCCCTGACCTAAGCACTGGGTTGAGTGTTAGGTTTTCTGTATTCCTGTGACTGGGCACACCACGTGGTTGTCCATTTATTTTGAACTTTTGGTTAGTTAACTCAGAATTTATGCAAAAATAAATTTATATAATATAAACTGTGTACTTACAAGACTATATCACATGAATCACCTTTATCTAAATAAGAGAATCTGTTAGTATAAAAGTTGAAATAAAACATTTGTTTTGCATACTTTTGAGAAATAGTATTTGTAGCCTTGCACATAGCTACCTACCTTGGGCTAAAGACAGTTAATGTTGATGTAAATATTTTCTGATGCTATCTGTAGTAGGATTTTTAGTATTTCATGGGAGGGAACTTCCTAAAGAAATACATACCAAAATTCAGTCAAGATGAATCGTTTTGGGACCAGCTGTGTGACTCAGAGAATGTAAAATGATAGCCACTTAGAGGGAAAAATAAAGGAGGCTTAGCTACTCATATTGTTAGTATAGTTAGAAGAAGTATTGTACAGAGCTGCTTTAAGTATGTAGAATGTGCTGTTAAATAGTAATGGGTGAATTTGAGTAGGAATTTTCAAATATATTTACTTAGATTTTAAAACCACTGTTTCTTCTATGTAAGAATGTGATTTCAAGATTTGTAAGTGTTCAGGAAGGAAATGTCCCTCACATGGGAACAAACTTTGATTCAAGGCCATGCAATTGCTTGTATAGGCTTAAAAATCTATAGGTGTTTATAACTCTTGTTTTTTTCTAACACTGCCACCCTTTTATTGTCTTTTCTTTTACCCACTCTACCACATTTTAGCCAGCAAGATTCTGTTACCTTAGAATTGATGGTTTTAGCTTAAGATTACACTCCACCAAAGGAAAGGCTTTTTATAGTCAGATTTGCTGAGTTCTAATAAAATAATAGTTGTCATACCCTATCAAAGGATATAAAAAAGTCTTGAAATATCTCAGAATAATTCATGTAGCTTATAATTCATGTAGTCATATAATCTGTTTTAAGTAGCTCTGGCCCAAGTATTGAATTGAATTGTTATACTATGTATTCTTGTGACTGAGCACACCACATACTTTTTCATTTGGAACTGTTAGTGATGAATCCAAGAAAAATGTCTTAAAGAATTGAAAGTTTTGATTTTTATGCTATAGAGTAGAAATGGTATGCATTTAATCAGTACGTATTTACTGATTACCAATTTTGTACATGACTCTATTATTGGACTTTGGAGTAAAAATGGATAGCTATATACAATGTAGGCGTTGATCTTAGGCAGTTTATACATAATAGTTGAAGAGAGAAATAACACCTGATGATTTTTATTTTTTTAAATTAGAAGACAACAAATGGTTTGTTGATTGTATTTATATTGTTTGTGGGAAAGGTATTTAATGTTTCTATCTTGATTTCAAGCTTTATTAGTTTAGACCAGCATTATCAATTTACCAACACTATTGAATTTAGCAGTGTGTGATTTTTAAAAAAGTATAAATTTACTCTCTGACATAAAAGACTTCAGGGTAAAACTGATTGAGTGACAGTGACTGTTGAATCTGTCTGGACTAGAATGGATAGGAAAGACTAACTGGATTAGATTGAAGATGTATTGAAGGGTATGAATGATGAGTAGGCTTTAGACGTACGTGAGGGAGGAGGGGTGACATATAGATGGGAGCAACACCTTGCAGGGAGGCAAAATCCCTGAGCAACCATTACATCATGTTGAGGTGGGAGGTGATGTTTGTGGTGAGCATATTTTAAGTATGAAGGACTTTGAGAAGCAAACCCACGAAGTTTAGACTTGTGGTAAGAAGCAATACTAAGCTAATTAAGTTTCTTGATATATGTGAAGTGACATATTCCGAGTATTTATAAGATAAATTGGGGTATGCAGGGTGAATAGGAATGAGAAGGTGTGTTAGGGCACCTAATTTAAGACTGCCCTAGTTTAACTATCATGATGGTTAGTCTGAGTTAATATGATAAATATAAAAATCAGTGACAAAAAGAAATCATTTAGTGATCATTTGAATTCAGAAATTGTCATTTCAAACAAAGAAACATCTTTTAACAGAACAGCACAATAGATCTCACTAATGAATTCTTCCCTAAGATGACCAAATGATAAGGATTTGTTAACCTGGATTTAGATGGTACAATCTCTGGTTTCTGTGATACTATCTTGCTGCTTTGAAAGTGTGCACATATATATTACATCATACTGTAGCCAGTAAATATAAATTACCAATTGTTAATTTTTTCTTGTTAAGAAATACTTGACAACATGTACCCTGCCTCTGAGTCTTTAAAACTAATCTTTTTCAAAAAGTGTATCTCTTTTCTACTCTATTATTAGGAGGAGGAGCTATCCCTGGTTTTGAAGTCAGTCAGAAGGCCTTTCTTTCTGAAATAATTCAGAAATAATTGAGATAATTGTAATAATTGAGATAATACATAATAATTGAGAAAGTACTGACTGACATAAAAGATTTTTGAGGTAGTCAGAGGTAATGTGTGTGCTCTGTTACGGGGTGGGTATTTTCACACATTGATTCTGGGCTCACTTGTCTATAGTCCTTGCACTTGGCACTGTTTTCTGCTTGATAGGTGATTATCATTTTTTTCCCAGAGAGGCAGTCTACTGATTTTAGGATTTCATCTAAATTAGATATTTTTACTAGAGAGTAGAATTTGTAATGGTATAGGTATATTTACTAAACTTGAAACAAGTCAAGTGGACCTGTTAAAAGATAGTAGTGGGCGTGTGTATTTGTGTGAGTTTGTACACAGAACTGGAGAATATGCCTTAAATAGGGCAGCTATAAGCATCAGCTGATAGTTGATACATAAAATACATGTCCCACTCTAATGATATCTTCATAGTTTTTCAGGAAAAACTGGGATTCCGGATTGAGGGGTAAAATCTGGGTGTTTCAATGATGGCAACTTATTAAAAATAAATTTTCATGCCCAATCCACTACCTGCCAGTGTGTCTGTTTCATGTAAACAATGTTCAGTTAATGTCAAAGACATGGTTTTAGCAGTAACGGGGGCTCTTAATTGCTAGTCTCTTCTCACTTTCTATTTGTATCACTGAACAGGATGTACAAACATTTCTTTATTGCAATCCACAATCACTTCCCTGTTTTAATGAAATAGTTTATTTAGGGTTTGTCATAATTTGTTGCCCATTCTTGCAGGTAGTTCTTGACAAGGCAAATTTCAAAATTAGTATTTAACTGTGGTTTTAATTATGGATTCTTATAGTTCGTCTTTAGCTATGACAAATTGAAATGTTTTTTAAATGAAAATGACATTTTCTTCAAGGAAAGTTTTGAAACACAGAACTGTTGAGTAAAGTTTTCTTCCTATTCAAATGCTAGAGTGACAATAAACAGTAATGTACATGTTACTTTTAACTGTTTTCCTTGGGGGCCTTGAAAACTGTATTGCCTTTTTTTTTTTTTTTTTTCTGTTATCAGATGTATCTTCCAGGAGCTGTTTATGGGTTATAAAATGTGACTAGGGCAGATTTGTTAATGAAGTAATATATAAGAAAGCATTTTGTTCATTGTAAATGTAAGGGATATTGTATCATTGAAATGGTGTTACTTTCCCTTAAATTTTGGAAATAAATTAGATTTGATCAGCAGCAGTTTTTCATATTTTTGCTTTTTTTTTTTTTTTTTGGTCAATAATAGTGAATACGTTGTTTGAATGGTGCCATCCTAAGAGGTAGATAATATTGGTGGTAGTTTGAATTTTAGAGGTATAGAGTCATTGAGACCTTTTATTTGGAGATACCATCTCAGATTCCATTTTATCTGTAGAGTTTTTTGTGTGCTTGTAGTATTTCTGTGTTTGAGGTGGGTTATTTCTGATCCTCGCTTTTGTTTTCTTCAAGTTCATGTATATATTTGCTTTAAAAAATGAGTGTCCATGGGTGTGATTTTTATTTTGAAGTTTTTTTTAATGCTAAAATGTTCTAAAATGAATCAGTGAGGTATGGTATTGAGTACATTTGTTTAGAAGCCTTTTGAGTACCCTTGTGTGGAGGCCTTTTATTTTTGTTTGTGAAAATTTTATTCAGTACTAATTGCTATTTATCACTATATTTGCTTACTTTTTGAAAATAAAGGTATGCTGTGTCATTTTTAAAAACTTTATTAGTCAGCATGAGGAATGTTCTAATTTTGGTAATTTTCTCCTTTCACAATAGGATTGGATTCAGCATCAAAATACATCCACTCATATTGAGAGCTGCCGACAGTTACGTCAACAGTAAGAACAATTTTTTCTTTTTTTATAGTGGCAGATTTACAAGATAGTTGTTTAGGTGTGGGTGTTTAATCTTTAATGTGGTATTTTGAAGAACAACATTTTTAGAAATTTCCTGTTTTTGAAATACTAATTTGTAGATACATATTTAACTTTTTTTCCAAAAGAAGAAATTTAAATATTATCCTTTCTTTTGACTCCTTCCTAATTTAATTGTAATATTATTAGTTCATTCCTTGCTAACTTGCCTTCTTTTATATGATTTATCTATTTTAGAGTAGATTGTGTTTCCTTCTCCTATCCCCTGCCTCCCTCTAATTATAGGAGGTTTCTCAAGGATGAATAACTAAAAACCAACCCAAACCAAATACCAGTGTTTAATTTCAGGTAGGCAGCTTTGGCTTAGAATCTATTTTCAGAATCAGTTGTTAAGTAGGAGATAAACTAAGCAGATGGGATGGTTCCTTAGTGTTGGTTCTTCAGTTCTTCCATCTCTCCTTTTTTTTTTTTTAAAGATTTATTTATTTATGCATGCAAGAACTAGTGTATAGGTCAGAGGTGTGGGAGGTGAGAGGCTTCACCAGAGACGGAGTGGGGAACAGAACAGGCAGATAGATTGAAATACACTGCTGAGTGGAGCATTGTGCACATCAGGAGGGGTCTGCTGCGCCATGTGGCTAGCTCCCTGGCGGGCCGGGGATTGAACTCATGCTGCAGAGGCTGTGGACAGCTTCACAGCGCTGTGCTTAACCCCTTGCCCTACCAAGGAGGCCCCATCTCTCCTTCTTTAATTAAGACACGAACTCTCTGAAGGTGAGAAGTGTGATTTTAATACTATTCTCGTATTCCTTAGGGTAATATAAAGTTAAATTGTTTTTCCTTCAGCATCATGAAATTGGCTGATGCAGTTTGGTGGCTAGTTTCTGGTCACTATGATAGTGACATATTCTTGGGCAAAGGGATTTGTGGGAACTGTTTTGTTTAGATTTTTTTTTATGAAAACATGGAATTTTTTTTTTGAGATTAACGGTACTCTTCTTGTTGTAAGTAATGAACATAATTCAAAGTAACTGTAAAGTAAGGGAATTTACTGTAAAGTAAGGGAATTTACTCATTTAACCGGAGAGCTTAAGGTATGGTTCTAGTTTCTAAATTGGATGCTGAAACAAAATATTTTTTTTGGTTTTGGCTCTTTCCTGCTTTGGTCTTGTGGCATCCCAGGTATACTTCCTCCATGAAGCAGAATGACCCTTACAGTTCCGAACCTGTTCTGGATTTGGTATTTTCAGGAGTTGGGAAAAAAAAAAAAGGCACCTCTCTTGCTTATAACTCCTGCATATATTCTTGGTTTGACTCTCTTGGTTCACTTTGAGTTAGTTGTCCATCTCTGAACCAATTATAATGGTTCCGAGAGTGGGGTGTTTTACTTACATTGGTGTCATGTGTCTACGCCTGTAATTAAATGTGATAGCAGCTGTACCTGAAACACACAGATTGAGAAATAGAGGTTGGAATTGCTTCCCTTTATAGATATTGTGGAGACAAGTTACCTTCATATGGTAATTTGAAGGTAATTTGTTATCTGCATTCAGGTAGACCTTATGGCCACTATAAATGGAAAATCTCTCTTAAAGCACAGTTTTTTTCCAGATACCTAGTTGGATATATAATTTTCATAAAGGTGAAGGTTTTAGGTGTGAATGAGTTATTTGCTGTAGGTAGGTTTTCATTGCTGCAAAGAGATTTCTTAGCTACATGTACTGCTATTGATTTACTAGGGCAAATGACATGTATGCCATTAAAGCTCTTTGTGTAGGTAAACCTTTTTTTTTCTTTGTACATGTCCATAGGACCATGATTTCAAAGCAGATGCTTTCCACGCCTGCAGCTTCCTTACTTTACCCTACCTTTTCACCTTTTTTCAGGTTGTGTACTATTGAAGAATTCCTTTATGGTGCTCTCTCCATTACCAAGAAAAAAAAAATAGATTGATTAGGGTGCTTGAGATTCTTCTGTGGCAGAATGTATGCTGTGCCAGTCTTTTTTTTTTTTTAAGCTGCATGGTATTCCATTGTGTTGCTATATCTTAATCTGTTTAGTCATTCCTCTACTGATCTGTATGTAGGTGATCACTCTTTTCCATAAGTCACTTCCCTCTTTGTCTTTATTGGATCTTTATGGATTCTGACACTAGAATAATTGGTTCACTAGAGAAAAGATACAGTGTCTCAGAGTTTTAGTATTAAAATTTATAAATAATACTAGCTATTTGATTATTATTATTTCATTCTTCTAAGTGCTTTACATAATTTACTTAACCTTCAAAGCAACCCTGTGACATATATGTATAATGATTATTCATCATTTTACCAGTAAGGAAACTGGGGCATAGATAACTTTCTTGATATACAGCAAATAATTGGCACAAATTGTCTGTCTAGCTCATGGATGTAAGTCCCAGATTGCCTCCCTCAACATTCTATGTTAAAAAAATTGCTAAGGTACAAAAAGTTGAAGAATTAGTATTTATATATTCTTTGTCTTTATTCACCAATTATTATCATTTGCCACATCTATTTTATCTATCTATCTATATATATATTTTTGAACTATTTGAAAATAAAATGCAGACATTATGACCCTCACTCAATTCAATGTCTATCTCCTAAGGATAAGGAAATTTTTCTGTTATAACTATAATATAAGATGTTCATGAAGATTAACAATTTCATGCCTTCTGTATAGACCAAGTTCAAAATTTCCCACTTGTTTCCAAAATGATCTTTTTTCTCCAAAATACCATTTATAATTGTCTGTTACCCCTGTATCTTCCCCTCTCACTCCCCAGTTTAGGGTCCAAATCAAGACTCATGCATTGCAGTTTCTTTTAATGTGAAACAATGCCTTCCTTACCTTTTGGGGATGGGGCGTTGAGGAGAAGGATTTTTCATGATGCTGACTTCTTTTGAAAAGTCCAGTAAAGTTGTCTAATAGAGTGTCCCACATTCTATACTACTTTGTTTTCTTATTAAATTCAGGATGGACATTTTGTCACTTAAACTTTAAGGTGATGTATTACTGCTGTTGGGGACAGATAATTTCAATTACTTGGGTTCCTCATTCTTAGCCATTATGTTATATTGCCTACTATGTAAGGAGGCTCATGCTTCTGAAACCCACTTTAAACTCTTGAGGCAATATACAGGTTGTCCACATTCTACTTGCAGAATAGTAAACATGCTGTATCTTACTGCCCTGGCAGCAGAGACAAGAACATGTATTCTAGTGGTCAAACTTGTAAAGACCTAAAACATTATTAACAACTTTTGAATAAATGGTTTTCAAGCTTTTGTGAATCCATAAACTGGAAAACTTTGGAAGTTATAACTTCTGTGTATTGGTAGCCAACTATATTTTCAGCATTGTACATATGAGAAAGCTAAGGCTTATGATATATTAAGTAAATGACATTAAGATACTTGAGTGTTAAGTAGCAACACCTCTACTTACATCCAACTTTTTTTGATTCCAAAGGTTTTGCTTTTAAATACCATACCAAAGACCAGAAATTGATCTTCTTAGATGGTACATTGTTAACAGAAGTTTTGAAAATGTGAAAGTAGATTCCAGAAAAGTATACCTGTTTTTATAGTCTTTGGTAATAGATGATGAAATATTGGATTCTTCATAGTTTGTCACTTAATAGTTACAAGATACTCCAGGCATTTTGTTTGCTTTCAAGGCAAGAAGAAAGGAGCACAAAGCTTTTTCAGAAGTTTGCCAGTGGTTTTGCACCTATGTCTCATTTGTTAGACTTTATCACTGGCTATGTTCTAATAAGACTGAGGAAGCAAATATTTTGTTATTTTTGTTATTGTAATAGAGACAGGCAAGGTAAAGGGAATTGAGAATTGCTGTTGAATTAACCTGTTAAATAATGTGATACAAATAGCAACGACAAAAAAAACCACATTACCTTTACTAAGGTTTTGACCTGTCTTTATTTTCCTGCCAGGTGACTTCTTGATCCATTTTCTTACCTGGATCTCCTCTTCTTTTTTTTTTTTAAATTTTATTCTTGAATATTTGGAATTTAATGATTTATTCACTATTTCCAGTTAACTTTTAAAGTTCTGATTCTCTAGAAAGGAGAGGATGAAGATGCCTTTCCTTAGGTTTCTATGTTACTATTCCTCTCATTTTTTTCCAGTGATTTCCTCCTAATTTCTTTCATTGATTCATTTTTGTTTGCTCTATTCGAAAGTGTTGGTGTGCATAAGATTCAGTCCTCAACTCTTTTTTTCTATAGATTCAATTCTGTGTTAGTCTCACTTTCACTTACGGTGTCTATATGCCTACTTTCTAGATATACCAGCTCCCTTCTTTTCCCCTAATTCCAGATACCTCTATCCAGTTGGTCTGAAAACATTTTTATGTTCTCCTTGCTTCAGAAATGTTAAATGATTCTCCATTTTCTTTTATTTATGTGCACCCTGCTTACCTAATTACAGGGACCTTCAATATTTGTCCCTGTTACCTCTCCAGGTCCCCCCCTCCCCCATAATTTGTTCTAATTCCTTCTGTGGTGCACCCAGACCACTTCCTCTAACAGATCATACACTTTCCTTTAATCTAATCTGGTCTGTGCCCATTGATAGACCTTTATCAGAAAGACCTGAAGAGCAGCCTTTTGTGTGATTTCTCTCTTGACTTCTCTCACTACATATGTGTCCCTCTGCAGACCACTTGGTACAATGTAAGGGCACCATTCAATGTAGCATTCTGGAGAATGGTGTCCCTATAGTTCTGCAAAATAGGGAAACTGTCTTTTAAAACTCCTACCTAAGCTTTTATCTTGTACCACTTCTGTATATCTTAACACATTTTATGTGTACAGTTTGTTTTATATAAATAAATTTTAAGGCCTTTATTATAGTATGTGGAATGTGTTTCTATTAACTGAATTACCTACTAGCATATAGTACCTTTGTTATTGAATTAGATACTCAAAATATTTTGTATCCAAGAAAAATTTCTGCATTTTAATATACTTATAAATCATTATATAAACTTAAGATTTGAGCAACCCTCTTCCCTGCAGAGGAAGATTAATTAAGCCATGTAGTCTTATTTTAATTGTTCATTAATATCATTTATTCTCAACATAGGTATCCTGATTGGAATCCTGAGATCCTCCCATCAAGAAGGTAGTTAGTTTTTCTTAATGGTGATATTATTGAAATTTAATTTACTTTTAAAGTAAGCAAATACTTTTTAAAAAAAGGTATTGTTTTGACTTGAACCCTGTGTTCACCATTTTTACTTTCAAAAAACAGGCAAATCCGACAACCTCTATGAATTTTTCTTTAATTACCCCCCTCAAATGTGGTAACTCACCTCTGTATACTACTATTTTGTGTCTTTCCTGAAAATACCTTATGCTTTTATTATTTTATATTTGTGAGATTGATAGTAAATGCCCAGAAGATTGGGAATGATGCTTTGCATGCTGTGTTGGGGGTGGAGAGGGGGTCCTTATTCAATGTGTGTGTGCTTCTGTGTGTGTGTATACACATACATATACGTGTGTGTGTACATAGTGTGTGTATATGTACACATATATACAAAAGAACAGCAGTCAGAAAAAATATTTGTAACTGACATAGTCTTTCAGGGGAAATTGTTGAAAAAATTTGCTTTTGTAAGTCATTTTCTAAATTCTTTAGATAACTTAATACTTTGAAAACATAATTAGATAAATTGTGGAACAGAGAAATCCAAGAAGTTGATATTCTTCTATAAGTTAGTCAAGACAGAGAGACTCAGTTTATTAAAGTATTGATTATATGTTCTGATTGTTTCTTATCTATCTATAACACTGAATTGCATCATAACAAAATAGGCTTTGTTTTAAGTAAATGTATGGTATCAGAGTTTGGTACTACAGATAGTCTGTTTTAAGAAGGTCATATAATTTAACTTTACATGGAAGTGCTGAATCTTGGGTGTGTTTTGTACTTTGTAGAAATGAGGGCAATAGAAAAGAAAATGAAACACCAAGAAGACGTTCTCATTCCCCCAGTCCTAGACCTTCTAGGAGATCAAGCCCAAGTCACAGATTGCATCGATCTCGAAGCCCAATGCGTTATATATACAGACCGAGAAGTCGAAGTCCTAGAATTTGCCATCGTTTCATTTCTAGATACAGATCTAGATCCCGTTCACCATATCGAATGAGACATCTATATAGAGGTAGTCCAAAATGCTACCGATCAGTTAGCCCTGAAAGAACATTACGGAAATCTGTGCGATCATCAGGTACGCTTATGGTCATGGATAAGTCTACTTATTGTGACTACTTATTTTTTAGGGTTTTTTGGCTTGAATTTTTCAAATTTCTTTATTTTTAATAAGCTTGAGATGGTGGCATAAACTGTCAGATATAGCAGAAGTTGGTGTTTTGAGCTTTTTGTCTCAGCTCTTCCATTTTGAAGTTTTTAAAGAAATGAAATATTCCATTTTATCTCATTGTAGAATTGCTCTGTGAAATCTGCACATCCTAACCTAATGCATTTTCTTCCCCTTATTTTGTGGGAGAGTATATCTGCTCTTGCAGCATCAAATTTAAAAACCAAGTATGGATAAGCATCTTAGTTTGCCTTAATAACTGATAATAGATATATCTTCAGTGAACTAATTTAATGTATTTTTGAAATTATTCATGTTTTTAACCTGTGCCTTAGTACTCGTTTAGTGACTTCTCCAGAAATGGTTTTTATGTGTGTGTGTGTATATATATTCTCTGATCTTTTCAGAGGTCTGCAAGGTCTTTCCTTTTCCAACTATATTTCTGTGAAGCTGGATTTCTTTTGTATATTTCAACTAAAATAATGTTTCCAGGAGATGAGATCAGGACTATCAGATGTTTGTTTTTAAATCTAATAGTAAAATGTTTGGAAAAATACACAATAGTGCTATTCATATTACTAATTTTCTTTTTGTTTTGGCAACTAAAATTTTTCATAAGATACAATCTAATGGTTTATTAAATTAATACATATTTTTAAGATTCTATTTTGATTTTTCTATATGATAAATACTGATAAATTTAACCGAAGAAACGCTTTGATTCCTCAATTTTTAAGAAAGTAAAAGGATACTGAAACCAAAGGAACTTGATGTAAAAGCCTTTTGAGTGAAGAATAAAAGATATACTTTTTTTTGTGTGTTTACAGACTCTGGCCAGAGAATGGTTCTGTGATGAATATTTGAGCAGTTGAGATATTTTTATTTTTGTTAATAATGTGGTGAGATTATTGTTACCTTAAGTTCTTTTCAGTTGAGGTTGTGTTTATATCCTTTTTACTAGATAGGAAAAAAGCATTAGAAGATGTAGTACAACGATCCGGGCATGGGTCAGAATTCAATAAACAGAAGCATCTTGAAGCAGTTGATAAAGGAAACTTACCAGCACTAAAGCCTAAAACTGTTAGTGGATCAAAAACATCAGTTAAATCGACAACCTCTACCAAGAGTGATTCAAATTTAGGACATTCTACTCGTTATAAATCTAAGAATGTTGAAGATGACACCTTACCAGAATCTAAACAAGTTTCTGATAAAGCTGTTTCTCTCCAGCGTAAGGTTAGTAGTTCTCTGATTTATTGGTGCAAGTGTACGCATACATTTGTGTTGTCACAGAGAGAAAACTGAATTATCTGAATTTTTTCATTTTCGTATTTCTAAAAATTTGAATAGTGACTTGTTAAATTATGTTGATAATGGAATACTTAATTGGTTTCTCTTTTGATATAAAAGTACAGTAGCTTACAAATTGTGAAGGGTTGTCATTTTGATGTATCAAAAGTGAGAGCACTTTGATGGCTTAAAGTTTTTTGATAACTGCTCAAGTAGATTACTATGAGTTGGGGAAGTGACCCTAATCACCAGCATTATTAGTAATCTTTTCTAAAAAGCTTTCAATGTGTCTACTGAGAACTGGTCATTTTCAATCTATTTTATACTTTTGGTAGTACAGTTCGTAAGTGAAATACTCTGTTGTCTAGTGTAGAATAATCTGCTTTTAGGTAGAATAGTCTCTTTTCTGGGAACTGATATATTTGGTGTATTTTTTAAATTTTATTTATTTATTTTTAAGATTTATTTATGCATATACAAGAGCTGGGGTACAGGCCAGAGATGCGGGGGGTTAGAGGATTCACCAGGGTTAGGGGTTAGGGAGCAGAACAGGCAGATCCACTGAAATACACTGCTGACGGGAGCAGCGGGCGAGACAGGAGGTGTCTGCTTTGCCATGTGGGTTGCTCCCTGGCTGGTGGCTGGGGATCAAACTCATGCAGCAGAGGCTGCGGATTGTTTCATAGTGTAGTGCTTAAACCCTTGAGCCACCAGGGAGGCCCATATTTGGTGTATTTGACGTAAATTTCTTGTTAAAATGCTAGGTTTGGTGGTTTTTTTTTTTTTTTTTTTAACCTAAGTTGACTACTAAAGCTGAAATTTTTTTATTTTTTAATTTTTATATATTTTTTACATCATTTTTCATTTTTGCACAAAGTATGCATTTTCATCTTGGTTATAGTCCCCATAATGCTAAGGGTTTTTTTTATTGTATATATCAAATTACTGTTACAGTAAAGAAATATATAAAACATCCTCAGAATATGAGCAGTATGGCAGATTATCAAATGTGTGTTGTATCATTGGCAGATTATCAAATGTATGTTGTATTACCATAGGTGAGAAATTTAACATAGACAATGCATTTGAATTTTATTACATCTGCATCTTGTAAAATATTAACACCTATCTAGGTTGCATACTCAATTAGAACAGAGAGAACACAACTATAATTTCAGCTTCACAAATCATGGATTGTGCAGATAAGGAAAATACTCTTTAATAGATTGACTACTCTTTAATAGATTTTATAGGTTCTATTTATTACAAGATGCTTCTAAACAGAAAAGAACATCTGAATTGGTTTCATATGAACTCAACCATTGTCGGATTTGAGTGGTAAATATTTTCCTTTATTATGTTAAAATACTTAGAAAAGAGTGTTTGAAGGAGTAAAATTAATCATAGAAGAAATTATATTGGAAATTGGGCCTCCCCTGGTGGCGCAGGCGGTTGAGCATCGCGCTGTGAAGCTGTCCGCAGCCTCTGCAGCGCTGGTTTGATCCCGGCCAGCTGGTGAGGGTCCCACATGGCTCTGCAGACCTTTCCTGTTGCACCCGCTCCTCCCCTCAGCAGTGTATTTTGTGAGTCTGCCTGTTCTGTTCCCTGCTCTGTCTCTGGTGAATCCTCTCACCCGCCCGTGCATCTGGCCTGTACCCTGGTTCTTGTGTAAATGAATAAATAAATCTTTAAAAAAAAAATATATATATATATAGGAAATTACTTATATTGTACACTGTGGTTTAACTTCCGTTTATTTTAAATTTTCTTATCTCAAAAATAGCTTCGGAAAGACCAGTCTTTGCATTATGGTTCAGTTCTTCTTATATCTGAATTACCAGAGGATGGCTGTACTGAAGAAGAGATTAGAAAAATATTTCAACCATTTGGAAAAGTTAAAGATGTCCTTATTGTTCCATATAGAAAGGAGGTGAGTCATCCAGTCTATACTAAAAGTGCATACAAAACCATTATTTTAAAATCTGTTGATGGATGTTTTAGCTGTTTTTACTACATAGAGAGTTGTTGATTGAGAGTTATGTAAATGTTTAGATTTGAATGAACAACTTCCCAAGAAGCCATTTTACATTCTTTATAGCAGGGGTTGGCATATTTTCTCTGTAAAGTACCAGATAGTATTTTAGGCTTTGCTGCCATAAGATTGCAGTTACTCAGCTTTGTCATTGTAAAACAAAAGCAAAGATTGCAGTTACTCAGCTTTGTCATTGTAAAACAAAAGCATCCATAAATAATGTATAAATGAGTGAGCATGGGCATATCTTGTTTTCAGAAGCAGGTGGTAGTCTGTAGAATGCTAGCCACTGCATTAGCACACCAATAAGGTTATAGTAAAACAAATGATTTCATAACTATTTTTTACATGTGGAATATATTAGAGGTCACTAAAACTATGAGTAGCCCTTGACTAAGCAGAACTTTAAATTGTGAGATAAGACTAGGACTAGGGAATATAGTTGTCTATGTTTTTCTTCCTTGCAAGAAGACTTGAAAATGTCAGACTTGGAGCTTCTAGACCAGGTCCTGCCTTCTCTGTCCAGTGAGTCCTCCCTTTCATTTTCTTACTGTTCATGAGCCTGCGATGGACTTACCTCTTCTTTTCTTAGTATTGTTAGAGAAATTCTGTTGGGTTAAATGTTTATTTCATATGTGAAAACATTCTAAAGATCAAATTATGGCTTTAGCAAAAAAAAAAAAAAAGGCGATTAAAAACAACCAGGATTTGAGGAAATTTTAGTTTTATGTTCCACATAGAGCATTCAGTTATGCAGGGAAATTTAAGTTAGATTTTTACTAATAATGGACTACATTTCATTTTAGGCTTACATAGAAATGGAGTTTAAAGAGACAATTACTGCAGTAATGAAGTTTGTTGAAACAACACCTATTCTTATAAAAGGGAAAACTGTGAAAGTATGTTTTCCAGGAAAGAAAAAACCACAGGTAAACTGGATTTAAATCTTACATGTTTCATTTATGTTGATATTCAGTTTAATGTTTTAAAGTATGATGTATATAGAAAAATGCGTGAAATAAGAATGTTCTGTCACTTGATTGCAGTGTGTAAATTCAAATGTACTGAAATTAGCAACCATTATATGTACACATAAAGTATTGTGAACAGTATTAAAGGCTACTAGTAGACTAGGAGAAAATAACAAAATTAGCAAACATTTGTGAAACCTCTACATAGGTCACAAACTGACATTGACATATATTGGAAATCTTTTGCATACTTCGGAATCCTTATACTATCCTTTCTCCAGAAAAGTAATCCCTAACTTGATTTCTAATAGTCATAGTTGAGTTTTATCCATTTCGAACTTTATGTAAAATTTTATCTTCCAGTACATTAATTTTGGGAGTCTCTTGCTTTCTTAGAAGTATCAGTGTTTAAGGGTTTAATTTTTCTATATTAGTTTCTATGTTTCACTTTATATATACATAGTTAATGACTCTAGAATTACTTAAAAATATCCAATAATTTTTGAGGGTGTGTGTGTGTGTGTCTGTATGTGTGTGATTGTGTGTTATTTATTTGCTGAAGAATACCTGCTTCCTAGTTCCTTTATAGCATACATTTTTCAACTAAGAATTTAATTTGAGGGCTTCCCTGGTGGTGCAGGTGGTTGAACGCAGTGCTGTGAAGCTGTCTGTAGCCTCTGCAGTGCGGGTTTGATCCCCACCGGCCATGAAGATATCCACATGGCTCTTCCTGTCTTTCCCGCTGCTCCCCTCAGCAGTATTTTTCGGTCAGTCTGCCTGTTCTGTTCCCCGCTTTGTCTCTGGTGAATCCTCTCACCCTCTAGCACATCTGGCTTGTACCCCGGCTCTTGAATAAATAAATAAAAATCTTAAAAAAATAAAGAATTTGATTTGGGCATCCAACTGCATTAGTATATACAGATTTTTCTCATTTATTTTAACTTCTACATGCTGTACTGTGTTATATGCTATACTGTGGCCTCCAACCCCCTCCCAGTAAATGCAGACTGGAGGTTTTGTGGATTGAGGGGGAGAAGAAGTGTTCCTGGGTGCCCCAGAGTATGATCACAGACAATCCTGGGAGCCCTGAGACTACACCAGGGACTCTCTACTTCGGTCTCTGTCTCTGGTCACCTGGTTCCACCTAGTTGAAAGATGGAACAGGCTATGCTATGTCACAGTGAACTATGCTGACTTCCTGACTTACTGTTTCTCAGTTTTTCCTTCCTTTACTGATGATTTTTGACTTTCCTCCTTGCTGAGAAACTGATCCTCACTTCTGTAGTCCCATTCTAGATGTGTCTGCTCCCTCCTGGTGCTTATTCTCAGTATTTCTGAGGGAAGCAATGACTCAGGAAACCTGTCTTATTTATTTTTTTAAGATTTATTTTTATTTATACAAGAGCCCGGGTACAGGCCAGATGCCCAGGAGGGTGAGAGGATCCACCAGAGACAGATTGGGGAACAGAACAGGCAGACTGATGAAATACACTGCTGAGGGGAGCAGGGGGTGAGACAGGAGAGGTCTGCTCGCTATGTGGGTTGCTCTCGAGGATGGTGGGGATCGAACAGGCACCACAGAGGCTGTGGACAGCTTCATAGCACTGTGCTCAACCGCCTGTGCCACCAGGGAGGCCCAGGAAACCTGTCCTTTAGCCATCTTCTATGCATTTTGACTTTAGGAAATTTGATTGCTCCTTATTGGGATTTTAATGGAAATTGAATTGTGTTTGTATTGAAATTTTTACAATACTACTATTATTGTAAAAAAGCTAAAAGCTTGTCTTTATATCTCCATTTATTTAGATTTCTTTAGTGTTCTTTGACAAGTTTTTTTTATATTAATTTTTTAAATTTTTTACATCATTATTCATTTTTAAACAGTATTTGCTTCACGCCACCCCCTCAGGTGTAGTCCCCATAGAATTTCCTTCACCAGTGAACTGGTGCACCTCAGTCTCCTGTGCTCCTCCCTCCCTCCCTCCCTCCCTCTGATGCCTCTCCTTCCTCCTCCCCTGCAGTATGTCTCCGATTTACAGTTGTCCGTTTTTGCTTTGTTGTGTTTTGTACTGTTACTATGTTTTTATACTGATGTCTTTGACAAGTTTAATATATATTTTTTTCCATAACCTTACTGTACATTTTTTTGGAGGGTGTGTTAAGTTTGTATTTAATTTATATTTAGTTGTATATGTTGTAACTATTATATACATTGCTATTAGAGAAAGAATCTTTATTTTTTTCCCTCTGTTTTCTTATTAATCACTACTAGAGTAACCTACCATCTTAGTTTACACCTTTTACATGTCACTGTCCTAATTTGAAAATAATGAATTAGTTATATGGTAATCCTACTTATTTTATCATTGAGAATTTCTTCTACTTTCAAATAACAGCCTCACCAGTTGTTTATTAAACAATGAGAGGCTTATTGATTTCATAACAGGAACTCTGCAGGTAGGTGGTCCATGACTGGTGCAGCAACTGCATAATATCTTCAGGAACACAATCTTTTATTTTTCTGCTCCATCATATTTAACATGATTTTTCATTCTCAGTTTAATGTGGTTGCTGTACTATCTTGTGTCATTTCTATCTTCCAAGCAGAAAGGAGGGAATAAAAATTGAGAACATAATAGGTTTTGATTTTTTTTTCTCCCAGAATAATGAGTTCCCTAACAACTTTCATTTACATTTGATTTACCAGTACTGTGACATATAATCACCTCTAGTTGCAGACAGCAAAAGGAAGCAAGAATTTGAATGCATAATTTAAGAACTTAAATTTTATCCTGAAAACATTTAAATATTATTTAAGGTTTTGAACAGGGGTATGATGTAATAAAATGGATAGATTGAAAATACTCATGTGGTAGTTATCTGCAGAATTATGTCTGCCAGGCAAATGATAAGCTTAGGAGATTGATTAAAAGGGGAAAGAGATAAGATTACTGAAGTCCAGTTAGAAGACTAATCTGTAGTCATGTCAACTTGTTATGGTTTGGGGCAGATTAATAAACTTGAGAATAGAAAGGAGAATTAAGTGGCTCTGTGCTTAAGAACTGTTTCTCCAGTTCTGAAAAACAATCTGGGAAAGTAGGTGAATTAAAATATATCAGGGTACTCAAGTATTTTAAACAATTTTAAATAATTCTTTTGGATATCTTTTTCATTAGCAATAATCGCGCCTCGGATAAACCTCATTGGCTACGATACTGCCACTGCGCAAAGCTGGATACCTTTTTAGATAAGGTTGATATTATAGCAGCATAAGCCTAAGAGTACAACCCTGCTTATTATACTGATTTTTATAGTAATGAATAGGGGAAAGTAGTAGCACTGAAAACTAAAAAGCAGGCCATCTACCTGTCAAAGACAGTAGTATTTTTCCACTAAATATGGTTTGGATTGGTACTGAGGTGCTACTTTAGAAGGTGAACTCATGACTTCTGTTGTGAACTCATGACTTCTATTCCTGTGGATTGACTGGAGTGTATCCACAACAGACCTCTCTGGTGGTTGTGGGTTCTTCAGATTGGAAATATGTAGATAGTCTTTTTGGCCTGTTAACCACAGGGGTAACAAATTACTTTGGCAGAATAGGCTCGAAGCCCAAACTAGGAAAAAGAAGGGCTGTAGCATCGCTTTCTTGGTCCAGACCTTAATTTTGGCATGAGTAGTCAAAACTAAGAAAAAAGTTTTCTGCCCACATTTGCTGTTTCATGTTAGGACTGCCTTTGACTCTGGCTGTGATTCACAGAACATTCTCTCCATTTTGCTGCTTCTTGGAATCAATAAAGAGATGTTACAGAAAAGGTAAAAAAACAAAAACAAAAAAAAACAACAAAAAAACCCGAAACCTCCCATAACCCATTATTTAAACCTGAAGGGTTAAAATATGGGTTTGTACAACTCTGACAGAAGCTCAATTATCTTGTCATTCTTTATCTGCCAGCATAGACCTCAATTCTAAAAAATGATTAACTTTTTTGAGTTGCTCTCTCTACCACCACTCTAATATTCTGATGAAAGCAAGCATTCTTTTTCCCAATGTACACATGTCCGTATTCACAAAATTTTTCTTAAAGAGGCAAGAGTCCTTGATGTAGAAAAAAGTATCATCAGATTTCCAAAAATAAAACCCTTGCAACTATTAATAGTGCTGTAACTCAACACCTGTAAAAACAAACAGCACCTCCCTTCCCCCCACAAAAAAGATTACAAAACATTCAATTTAGTGTTTTATCAGCAAGTTCACAGGGCAATTACATCTAAAATTTAGAACAAACAGATCCAAGAGGATTGTATGGAAACGAAAAATGATGTTGGGAAGCAGTGAAACAGTGATTTGAAATTTATGGACAATCTAATGAGTAACAGGAAGATAAAGCTGAAAGGATATAGTCAAAATTCAGATGAGCATTTAAATTCATTTCATGCAAATCAGAACCACAATGAGATACCATCTTAAACCAGTAAGAATGGCATATATTAAAAAAACTGGCAACAGCAAATGTTGGCGAGGATGCGGAGAAAAAGGAACTCTCCTACACTGCTGGTGGGAATGCAAACTGATTCAGCCACTATGGAAAGCTGCGTGGAGGTTCCTCAAACTAATAAAAATGGAGCTATCATGTGACCCAATAGTTCCACTCCTCGAGATCTACCCAAAGAATACAAAAACATTAATTCTAAAGGATACCTACACCCCTATGTTTATTGCGGCACTATTTACAATAGATATGGAAACAACCCAAATGTGCAAAAATAGATGACTGGATCAAGAAGAAGTGGGGTGTGTGTGTGTGTGTGTGTGTGTGTGTGTGTGTGTGTGTGTGTGGAATACTATTCAGCAATCAAAAAAGATAAACTCACACCATTTGCAGCAATGTGGATGGAGCTGGAAGGGATTGTGTTCAGTGAAATAAGCCAGAAGGAAAAAGAAAAATATCAGATAGTTGCAATTATAGGAGGGCTATAAGGGGAACTAAGTAGAGATCAGGAAAAAAAATGAAAAACCAAAATTAACAGGCTACTTTAAATCAGAGACATTCTACAGGGGAAGGAAAGAGAGGGATCAAAGCAGGGGAGGGAAGAGCACAAGGGACTACGGTGATGGTACACAGGTGAATTGGTGGGAATTTTATGGTGACTACACTTGAGAGGAGAAAGCAAACATCGTACAAAAATCAAGTGTTGTAAACTATATTTAAACAAGTGAATTAAAAAAGACTAAATTCATTTCAGTTAAAAAACTTTAAAATAGCTGTTATATATCAGGCTTTGCGATAACTGCAGAAGATGCAGTGGTGAGTAAAACATCTGCTTTCACCCCTCTTTGGAGCTTATGGTCTACTAGTTAAGGTTGAACCTAAAACGATGAAGAGGCAAGACAATGGTGGATACCTCTAGGAGACCCAGTCTGCATATAACTGGACTCTAGAAAGAGGACACCACTTAAATACTGGTGAAGATTTTAAATTTTAGGGCCTCCCTGGTGCCGCAGGGGTTAAAGACAGCACTTTCAAGCTGTTGCCAGCCACTGCAGCATCAGTTCAATCCCCTGGCTGGCCAGGGCGCTACCCACATGGCACAGCAGACATCCCCTGCCTAGCCTGCTGCTCCCTTCAGCAGGGTATTTCAGTAAATCTGCCTGTGTTCCTCCTCTGTCTCTGGTGAATCCTCTCACCTCCCCCACACCACTGGCCTACACCCTAGTTCATGTATGAATAAATAAATAAATCATAAAAAAAAGAGTTTAAATTTTGTAGTTGTGGAGGGGCAACCTATAGTGTTTCTGAAACAGTGTAATTTTACAAAGGCATAGTCTAGGAATAATCCCATGTAATGTAAAAGGAAGTGTCAAGAATGCCCCCAAAGAACAGAAAATGTAAAATAACATGACAATTATTGTAAAGGTTCAGATTCATTTAACATGTACAGCAAGGCCTTAAATAAGATGGGTTTGAACCATGCAGGTCCACTTCATGTGGGTCTTCTTGTAAACAAACCAGGTAAACTTAAGGGTATTGATACACACTATATAGTACTCTAAATGTATTTTCTTTTCCTTATGATCATCTTATATAGTCTTTTCTCTAGCTTATTGTATTGTAAGACTATAGTATATAATACATATCACATACAAAGTATGTTTTCATCAGCTGTTTATGTTATGTCAGTGGTAGACTAGGGGAGCCAAAAATTATATGTGGATTTTTGGCTCTTAAAGGGTTGTCGATCCTACCTGTTGTGTTGTTTAGAGTTCAGCTGTCTTTACTGAATATTCACTAATTGCAAATATGGTTTCATGCACTGGAGATAAGAGTAGTGAATAAAACAAGTTCCAGTTTTTGCAATGTTAACTTCAAGGGATAGGGAGAGAAAGACCACAAAGAAATTAAAAATATATACCTACTATGTTTTAGCAACAAGTACTGTGGAGAAAAACAGTAGAAATGGAAAATATAAGTTTCTTGATGGGGAATGTGGAGATGTGCAACTTTAAATAAGATATTTATGGAACGTTTCATTGAAAAGATGATATTTGAGTAAACATTTGAAGGAGGTGAGAGAGCAGTCTGCATTGAGAGCATTCTTAGACAGTAGGGACAGCAACTGCAAAAGACTTGAGATCCATGCTTACATAACTTGTTTGAGGAGCATAACGTTTGTTAGGGATTGGAAGTAGAGAAATACAGGAAGAGGTATGTAGTAGTTTGGGGTCAAGGGAGGTTGGAACATGTATTGTAAACTTTTATAGACCATTTTAAGTATTGGCTTTTTCTCTTGATGAGGAGGTTTTCAGTCTAGGAATAGTAAAATTAATGTGGTGGTTTCATTTTTAAGAGTAGAGTTGGAGTGGGTAAAAAGACAAGTATAGAATCAGAAAAGCTATTAGGAATCTATTGTAGTCTAATAGAAGATTGATTGTAGATTGGACAAGGGTGATAGCAGTTAGCTACCTGATATATTCTAGTGCTATTTGAAGTAATGGTTTGAAAAGATAGTTATAAGAAAATGTAAATGAGTTGTAAAAGGTGGGATGAAAATTACGCCATATGATCACAGGTTTAAATAGAAAAGAAGGTAAGCATTTATATTTTAAAGTAGGAAGATATATATATCTTTATTATATTTATGCTTGTATTTCCTAAATTGCTTTTTATAATCATTCAGGAAGAAACTAAACTTTCTTAAATATTTTTCTTCATAGAACAAAGAGGTGAAAAAAAAGACAGCAGATTCAAAGAAAACATCTGCATCTACTTTAAAGTAAGTCCATGATTTCATATGTGAAAATCAATGGGTCTATATTAATAAACTAATTTTTAACTGCTTTTTAATATATTTTATCACCCTCTACTTTAAATTGTTCATATTGAAGTATTTTAAGCTGTTTTAGATCTCAGTTTTGAATCTTTAAATGTTTTTAAACTTGAGATTTCAGCCTTTACTAAACTTTTCCTTATTTTAAATAGAAAAGATGCAGATGCTTCCAAAGCTGCTGAAACTGTGACTTCAACTTCTGCTAGTAAGTTGTTACTTTCAAAACTCCCAAATAAGTGTATTTTGTCTGTTTACTGGAAATTTCTTGCCCGGTGATGCTAGGGAAACATTTATTGTTCTTTAGTAGAAGGGACCCAGGTTGGCCCTTGTATTAAGGTAGTGGTTAATGTCTGGTACTGTGTAATATGGAATCACTTCTGTAATAAATGTAAAAACTCAATGAGATAATATATATAAATAGCTGTTTAAGTTAATTTTGCTGTACTTCCCATTGTTCCCGTCCAGTAAACTCATAAGACAAAACATATAGGTATGTTAAGGTTATTTGTCTGATCCCTTTTGATTTTGAAAATCTGCTCAGATAAAAAGTAAACAAGTTAAACAAATAGATGTTACTAGACTTACATACTATAAGTTGCTTCTTTCACATTCTGAAAATGTAATTTTCAGAGTTTTCTTAATTCTGACTAGCTAAATGAAGTTTGTACACAATTTTAATAAACTGGGTCATCTTTTTTTTCCTCAGCCAATTTATGATTGGAAAGGTGGGAGAAGTTATAGCTAGAGCATGCACTTTTGAGTGTAGTAAAAGTAAACAGTTCGATATTTAGGGACATACAGAAAAGCTAAAGTAAAATAGACATAAGATATATTCAGAGTGTTAAATTGTGTTTTTGTAGGTACTCTTTTGGGTGTTTGGATGTTCTGGATTTTTATTCTAAAACTAATTATTTAAGTGAATGGAAAATTGGATTGTATAAAATCTCATGTTATAATATTTAGTTTGATAGTTACTGAAGTAATTGGAAATCAGTAGAGGTGAGTAGGGATGGCTTCTGGAAGGCAGTAAAGTTTGATTAAGGTTTTAAGCGTGAATATGTGAAAGCATAATTATATAGAGACAGAACATTTGTTCCATTAGCACAATGATATAATAAGGTAGGAGAATTGAGGAATCACTTTAACACAAAGCTTTGAAAGTCATGCTGGGAATTTTTTTAATTTGACCCCATTAATAACAAATCTAAAATTGTGTTATGTGAAAGAGTTAACTCTTGGAACGTGTTTTTGGATCAGATAAAGTTTGGATATGTATTACCACCCCCTCCCCTTAAAAATTCACAAAACATTCATTTTATGAAGTTCTGCAAGATTAAAAAAACTTACCCTTTGTTTAACCCACTGTTGCCTAAGCCTGGCCAAGATGCATCACATTATTTTTGTGTAAGATCTAGTAATAATTAGTACAGACTCTGGGAAATTGCCACAGAGAATAAAGAACCATTAGTTGTTTAGGATTCTCATTTAGATTGGATAAATGGAAAGATCGAAAAATCCCATTAAGAAAACAGTTGGGATTCATTTGCAGTGATTAGTACCTCATGTCAGGTACTAATTAAAATGTGGGACAGGAAAAAAATCTAAATTTTATTATATAGAAATTTTTATTGACTAGAATTTAATGAAAGCATAAATTTAAAATTTCAAGGATTTTACTAGGAGAGTGTGCTAATGTTGACTAAAATAGGAAAATTTAGATGCAGTTATTTCTTTGAATTTGGGAAAACCATGAACTTAGATTTTAGCATAGCTAAATTTTAGCTCTCCACAAATGTCTATTGGTGATGTCCTTTAATAGCTGGCTAAAGTATAAGAATAAATCTTAACCACTTTTGCTTTTCTTTATTGTTCCTTAATGTCTATTTTCTTAGATTATCATACTTCGATTATCAATTTTTATGGTTGATTTTTTTTTTTCTTTCTGATGTGTTTAAGGACCAATGACTTATCTCGTATATAACCCCTTCAAGTTTATTACTCTCTTATATCATCTAACAATGTAGAATCCTAGACATGGAAATTCATTAGTAATTCTTTAACCCTCTCTTCTGTCACATCCACTTGAAACTTAGGCAACATCATCTTTTCATCCATTTAGTGGATGAAATTGTTTCTTTATTGAATTTACGTCACACAATCTTACTGAATCACATCTACAATTTAATTCTGATTCATTTAAATTTTGGAAGATAGCCTCTTGATTGGTGTTTTTTATTCCATTCTTCATTATTTACACAGTTGCCCTGATATCTCTTTAAAGCAAATCTGATCATTTCATTCCTAGTGACCCATTGGACTAAACCCAGATTCTTCAGCATTGCATAAATTACTCTTTTCCTTTAGCCCCAGTTTACTTTTGCAATCTCTTGCCACTCATCTGTATGTTATGCTCCTTCTACTCAGAATAGTTTTCCAGTTTTGCTGTCATGTCTCACATTGCAATATTTATGCTAGCCATTTGTCTATAATCATCCGATTAAATTTACTTAGTTAAGACTCCTTTTTGAAGGTACAGGGTTAGAAAAATCCCAACTTAGCTTTCAAGACCCATTTGAGGAAAAATTTCGTTGTGATACCTTCCCTCAGTCACCTAGGTGGTTAGGAGTCTCCTAGCAGTAATAATGTGTAAATCACTTAGTTTTAGATAACTTGATCTCTTTCATTTGACTAGTTTAGAGTGTGTTTGGAGCTTTATTTTTCTGTTCTTTATGTCTAGTGAAGTATAAGGATTAGTGAATTAATATTTGTAGGAGGAAGAGTTCAGGGACACATCAAGTTTTATTGTTGTACCTTAAGTGAACCAAAGCAATTTAAGTGAGTTATATCCCCAGCAAAATCATTCTGCTCAACTAGTTCCTACATGTGAGTTCCATGAGGTCTTTAAAGAAGTAATAACATGTTCTATTTCTAGTCATAATATTAAGAGGGAAGGAAAACTTTCTTTAAAATGGAGGTGAAGAAAGGAAAATAAGAAAACAGGCTAATACTGATTTCAAACACTGAAAGACACTGCACATCTATTATGATGGCTAAAATAAGAAAATTGTATTACTAAATGCTGTTGAGGGCATGGAAAAACTTGTCTGTGGTTGGTGGAAAGTAAAGTGGTTTGCCTTTTCTGGAAAAGAGTATGGAAGTTTTTTAATGAAACAAAACATGCTTGCCACAAGACCCAGGAATTAGGCTCTTGGACATTTATCCCAGAGAAATTAATTTCAGTCACACAAAATCTGTTCACCTAAAAACCTGTAAATGAACATATTTATCACTGCTTTTATTCATAATAGCCCAAACCTGGAAACAACCCAAATATCTTTTTGTGGGTAAATGGTTAAACTAATATATCCATAGCACGGAATACTACTCAAAACATATAGGGACAAATTATTTGCATATGTGACGACTTGGTTGGATTACAGAGGAATTATGCAAAGTGAAAAAGTCAGTATCAAAAAATAAAGTTTTCGTTTGTGTAGCTTTCTTGAAATAATAAAATAGAGAGTAGATTAGTGATTGCCAGAGGTTGTAGGCAAGAGAGGAAGGTGGCTGTTAAGTAGGTAGCAGGAAAGATTGTTGTGATGAAACCATTCTGTATTTGGTGGTAGTTGCACTGATTAACCTGTGTGTGGTAAAATTTCATAGAAATACACAATGAGAACACATGAAATTGGGGAATTTTGGATGTTGGTAGATCACATCAATATCAGTTTCCTGTTTGTGGTGGTGTATTGTGGTTATATATCATTAGGGAAATTTGGTCTAAGGGTATGTTGCCTTGCCTCCTATTATTTCTTACACTCTTTGTGAATTTACATTATCTCAAATGTTTTAAAATGCTGATAAAACTATGGAACAATTTCACCTATGAATATTGGTATAAATTTTTTCAGTAAAAGTTTAGCATACAGTTTTGGGAAACACATTAAATAAATAAATATGCTGTGCGCAAGAGGGGGTCATATCAGAAAGATAAAGTCTAAATCTGTTAATTCAGGCTAACATATTCAATAGAGAAAGATAAATTCTGAGAAGGATATTTGGTAAAGTTCAACATACATTCCTAGCATTACAAAAAAAATTTTTAAAGTAGATGGTTCCTTCTTTAATATGATAGTATTTGTACATACATTTATTTGTTTATATACAAATAAAAAAATCTGGCATAAGATTATCAATAACTTCTCTCACATTACCATGTTTGTGTGAAATTATGGCGATCCCACTCTCATATACTATTGATGGGAGTTATAATTGGTATAACCCTTAGGAGGACAATTTAATGCTAATTGCTGAAAATTTAAAATCTGTGCTTTTTGTAAGAGCAAGTCCATGAATTCACCTTAGTGAATTCAGAAATAAGTATAGGAATTTTCTTGTAGTGTTTTTTCAAAATCATTGCAGGTTACCTCTTTCCTAAATGTTAAATGATGCTGTTTTGTAATTTGTTAGTGATATTGTTTCCTTGCTGTTTTAGCCAAAACTGGACAGACCAAGACAACTGTAACCAAAGTGAACAAATCTTCAGGTATGTTTCTTACTAAGATTCTAGACTTTTAAAAAGTAGTCTTGGATTTCAAGTGTTATAAAGCGTGCTCCATGTTTTTCAGTCTTTAAAATGATAGTTATCTAGATATTTTTTTTTTTTTTTATTTATACAAGCACTAGATACAGTTAGAAGTGCGGGAGGGTGAGAGAATTCAACAGAGCCAGAGCGGGGAGCAGAGCAGGCAGAAGGACCAAAGTACACTGCTGAGGGGAGCAGCGGGCGGCAGGAGAGGTCTGCGCGCCATATGGGACCCTCTTCCGGTGGCCGGGGAGCAGCCGGGGATCGAACCGGCGCTGCAGAGGCTGCGGGCCGCTTTGCAACCCAGCGCTCAACCGCTGCGCCACCGGGGAGGCCCCGATCTAGATATTTTGACAAAAGAGATTTAGTAGATAATGCTCTTTCTTTGTAGTAATTATCAAAAGACTATAATGTAAATGGGACATCATTTCTCATGATGAGTATCATTTCCTTCTTATTTATTAAGGGCTTCTCTTTCTTTTATAAAGTAATCCAAGTAACAAATATGACAGCAAATTATGTTGGCTTTGCAGTTTTTTGACCTATAGTGTTATTTAAAATTACTTATTTTTTTTCCTCTTTCCCTTCTATTTATCCTCTATTCTATGTTCCCTTCCATTTCTGCTAAATGTTGGTTATTTCAGGGTCATCTTTTTAAGTGGATAGAGATCAGTGTTTTCAATGATCCTATAATGGTAGGATAGAAAGGAAACAGCTTTGAACTGGTAGAATCTTAGTGGGAGATCTGTAATGTTTCTGTAGTTATTTCTTAGAAGCAGTAATCTGAGGGGACATAGAGATGACCAGAAAAAATTCACTTTTGAAGATGCATTTTATTTAGCAAACACACTAATTTCACACTGATACTAATATTAAAAAGTTTATAGACGTCACTGAGTGAGATTTGGAGGAGTGGGTCCTAAAACCGCTAGCCACCTCCTAACTTAGAAATTAATTCTAGATATTTTTTTCCTTATTCTTCTGGTTCCCAGTTAGAAGTAGTAAAGTGAATTGACTTGTGGTAATAACTAGGGCTAGTGAAAGAAATATTTCAAGGGCTCAATGGGGTAAGATTACTGTACTGAGACAAAAATTAGGAGTGACTAAGAAGTGAGAAGCTGTAAGGGTTGATACTGCTTTTTCTTTTTCTGAGCAGAGATTAGGATTTGTCTTTGGATAGATAAAAGGTAAATCTGTAAAACCACTTGATTTTTTTAATCAATAATTCCTTTTATTTGTGTGATCACTTTTCGAAAATGGACCATTTCTTATGCTGGTCTTATTGGGTAGTTATAGCATTCTCCAACCTTGCTTTTAAGATTTATTTATTTATTTATGCAAGCACTGGGTACATTCAGAAGCGTGGCAGGGTGAGAGAATTCACCAGAGCCAGAACAGGAGAGTAGAACAGGCAGAGTGACGAAGTACATTGCTGAGGGGAGCAGTGGGCGGCAGGAGAGGTCTGCACGCCCTGTGGGACCCTAGCCCGGTGGCTGGGGATCGAACTGGTGCTGCAGAGGCTGCGGGCAGCTTCACAACCCAGCGCTCAACCGCTGCACCACCAGGGAGGCCCCTCCAACCTTGTTTATAAAAAGGGAAATGTGCACAGAAATCAATGCCCAAGACTTTGCAACGTAACTTGGAATTTAACTTGGATCTTCTGACTTCTGACTTCTGATCCTGAACCTTGCTAGTTATTATGAATCCTAATTTTCCAAACTAAATTTCCTGTTGCTCGCTGAATAGAAAGGATTTTGACTCTTTGGTGATCTTTTTCAGTGACACTTTGCTGATCAGTCTTTATAAACAGCATCATCTTGGAAAATAAGCTATTGTTGTAAATACATATGTATAAAGAAGGTTCACTCAATTTAAATAATCCTATTAAGAAAGGGCCCACTAGTAATGCGTGTTATAACTCTCAGTATGACTAGTAGTAATGAGTCAAAGCAGTCTTTATGTAGCTTGATGATGTAGGTATTCTTGAATGCTTTTCAATCAGGTAAGAACAAAGGAAGTATGAAGTAGGGAGCCCTAAGAATAACTGGTTTTGGAACTATTAAAAGCACTGTCAGATTGTTTTAATGTCCTCTTAGTTAATAATTTTACTGTAGTTGATCCACCCATTTAGAGATTTGTTAAACTTACCTGAATGCTGTTTTTAAGTACCTCAATGGAGAGGTGGTATTTTTCTTCCTGAAGAAATTGTCACCATTGCTGTATTTAGAAAATGGCCTCTGCCTCCAATGATGATAGTATTTTATGTTTTGAATGAAGTATAGTCTGTGACTCTTAATGAGTTTCTTTGAGGGGGAGGGGATTGTTAATAGAAGTTAAATAAACCATTTTTGACTATGGCTTTTGTGATTTAGGGAAGTCAGCAGGTTCTGTAAAATCTGTGGTAACAGTAGCTGCTAAAGGTAATAAAGCTTCAGTCAAAACAGGTAAGAAATACGACTGGGAAGAAGAGGTTTTATTGTTTCATCTCATTAATATTTAATTAATTCTTAATTAAGTTTATTCTCACCTGCCTTTAAGAATATAAAGTTTTAAATTCATAAACTTTTTAGTATTTAATAGCACCTTTAAAAGTTTAGTATTATTTCTTTGACATTTAAAACCTGATGCATATAAACTATTAGTTTTTGCTATTTTGGTCTTTTACAGTGACATTCTAATATAGAAAACATTTTGACAGGCTGTACAAAATGTGTGTACAATTCCTCTGATATTTGTTACTTATAAGAAGATTATTTGTTTCCATGTTGTAAGATTGCATTTTCCCCCACTTTTAAATAACTACAACGCACTGAAACTAAAATGGTCTTCTTATTGACCAGTTTTAAAGAACTTTGGAGAAATTATAAAATTTTTCTGGTATATGATTTGCCTCTGCTACATGAGGGTTAAACTTATAACCCATTAATCACCACCAACAAAAATTGCCTTTTAATTTCATTAGTAAGCTATTGAAAATAAGTAAAAATAATAAATATGTGGAAAAGAACTGCTTTTATAATCAAATTGAACTCCTTATTTACCAGTATGCTGAGTGATTGAACAGACTCTTAAAATAATGCTTCAATTCTGCTTTTTAAAGCAAAGTCTAGTGGAAAGAAGTCTTTGGACGTCAAAAAGGCTGGCATTGTCAAAAACAAAGACACCAGTAAAACTCTGACACCTGTTCAAGGTGAGCTTGAAATGCTGTCATTCGATGTTTTTTTCTTTAGAGTCTCTTGGTAATTTCCTAGATTCAAAGTATATTTTGAAATCAATGTTTTAAAAATCCTCAAAGGAATTGTTTTGTTGTTTAAAGTGAAAATTATATTAGTTTTGACTTAAAGCAAATCAGCATAAGGAAACTTGAAATGAGGAACTAAAATTAAGTTTGTTAGATTCACTGGTTTAATTATATTAGTGTGCTTTTCTGTACCATTAAAATAGACTATTTCATACAGGAAACTCTGAAATAAAGACAAGAATGGAAGCCAAACCCACTGAAAATAGTGCTAAAGAAATGATTTCAGGTAGGTAAATAGAAATTTCTCTTGTGTTTGAGGATTGAAAATTAAAAATGTGAGAAAATAAGATCTGTAATTTTGTGTTGTGTGTATATATGTATTTGAGTGCTTATGTGAAATTAAGAACATTATGATTTAGAACTTCATCTTGTTTCTTGGTTATTCTGAAGTTTTGCTGTTACAAGGAGTAAAATAGCTGTGTTATTTAAAAGCCAGTGTTAGTTCTGTAGCTATTTCTTACTTATATTCTCTAATCTTTTGTCAGTTATATATACATTTTCATATAGCACTATTCTACTATGAAATAAAGTGGGATCTTGATAAATAAAATATATCTGCATGAGTTCTTTTGTTTTATATCTTAAGATGCTGCTTTGGAGGCCACGGAAAATGAACCAGTTAACAAGGTTAGTTGTTTTTTTTGTTTGTTTTTTTTTTTAGATTTATTTATTTATGCATACAAGAGCTGGGGTACAGGCCAGAGATGCGGGGGGTGAGAGGATTCATCAGAGACAGATTGGGGAACAGAACAGGCAGATTGACCAAGGTACACTGCTGAGGGGAGCAGCGGGCGAGTCAGGAGAGGTCTGCTGTGCCATGTGGGTTGCTCCCTGGCCAGTAGGGATCGAACTTGTACTGCAGAGGCTGCGCATTGCTCCATAGGCTGCGCACTGCTTCATAGTGCGGCGCTTAACCCCTGTGCCACCAGGCAGGCCCCAACAAGGTTAGCTTTTATATTTTACTTTTTAAAGCTTAAGAGATTTTGACATAATTTTCTTACTATAAAAAAATGTACACAATTTGGCATGGTATAAAATCCCAGTCATTTGTGACTTCCAAAATATAATTTGAGTTAAAAAACTTCATGTTGCAGTGTAAGTCACAGAAATTTAGAATGGATAAATTATCAATAAATGTATAAGTTTTTGAGGAATGCTTTTCACTATGATCAGAATGTAAGCCAAAACGAGTTTTTGAGTAGGCAGTAGGTTGTCAAAACTGATAGAATTTTGTGAAATCCTTTTTTATTTCCCTGGAGAGGCATATAGGAATGAGATACATCAATATTTACAGTACCAATTCTTTGTATATTTTTTGGAGAGGTAGTGGTTTTTGTAGTTGTATTTGTTAGGGCATAAAGTTAGCTTTATTATTTTCCTATGGTCATTATATCAGTGTGAATATATTAAAACCTCATTAATTTAGATTTTACTAGTTGAAATCTTGGGGTCATGCAGGTGGTTAAACACAGTTTATTTTTGACTAGTGGAGCCATTAACATATAACTAATATGTCTTACTCTTTTGTTTTTGGGAGAATATTTTAAAACATCAATAGAGTATTTTAGATTCACTTAAAACACTTGAGTAAGCTATTTATGAACATAATCGACATGTTAAAGTTATTCCTAACTTGTTTATGGAAATTACAACTTCTTGCCTTTTTTCCAAAAGAAAAGTAACAAGTTGCTGAAATACTAGAGTATAGCTTTGGGAATTTCCCCAATATCCAATATAGAGAAAATTTGGCATTAATGAGAGAGTCAACCTGAAGAATAGAATATGTCTGAGAAGAGAAGGCAGAAAAGTAGGGACTTCTAGTGGGGATTGGGTTAAGGGAGAAGAATCCCAAGATACTTTTTTTTTTTTTTTTTTTTTTATTTATAGAGGCATGTTTTTATTTATTTATTTATTTGTTTGTTTGTTTTGTCTATACATGCACTGGGCACAGTCAGAAGCGCGGGAGGGTGAGAGAATTCACCAGAGCCAGAGCGGGGAGCAGAGCAGGCAGAAGGACCAAAGTACACTGCTGAGGGGAGCAGCGGGCGGCAGGAGAGGTCTGCGCGCCATGTGGGACCCTCCTCTGGTGGCCGGGGAGCAGCTGGGGATCGAACCGGCGCCGCAGAGGTCGCCGGCAGCTTCGCAACCCAGCGCTCAACCGCTGCGCCACCAGGGAGGCCCCCAAGATACTTTTAAGCTTTTTTTTATATTGCCTAAAAAGTGGTCATTTTATTCAGTGGAAAGATATGCACTGATTTGAAGCTTGGGAATGTTAGCATCACAAAGAATGGTAACACTATATGAAAGGAAGGACTTGTCAGAGACAGGTAAACTTGTGTTTATAAATTATGGTTGAAAAGGACAGCTAGAGATCTTGACTTAGATGACAGAGGATATGAGTGAAATCAGTTCTGCACTTGAAAAGAGGAAATTTGCATTTTGTTTTGTTTTTAATTTGAAATTCAGACCAGCCTTCCTAATTGATGAGACTAAAGCAATTTAAATATTGCTTAGCATATGGTGCAACATATGATACATAGCATATGATACAGCATAAATTAAGTAATCATAAAAGCAGTTAAAGAAAATTTAATGTCAATTCTGAAATTTGTTTTGAAGGAAGCAGAGGAAATGTGTGTGGTACTTATTACTAATTTGCCTAATAAAGGATATTCTGTAGAAGAAGTTTACAACCTAGTAAAACCATTTGGTGGTTTAAAGAATATTTTGGTTTTGTCATCTCATAAAAAGGTGAGTTGTTAATAGCTTGTTCATGTTGTTGACAAGCACATTTTGAAAAACATTAATTTTACAGAGCTAGAAAGGATTAAAATCACCTACTCAAAAATAAATTAAGCTGTTTCAAACTGAGGAGTTTTAAAAATATAAAATACAGCTCTTATTATAGTGCTATTCTAATCTCACATTTTAATGATAGGGAGGAATGTCTAATATGTCAGTTTTGCTTAAAAATTTAGCTTAATGGAAAATGTTTCTTTAATATGTTAATACAGTTTTTCAGATGACTTAAGATATCTTTCACTGGCATTTTTACTGTTTCACCAATGATGCTCAAGTAGGAAATAACCATTTTCAGAGTCAGATTAGTGATACCATCAGTATTGAGAACAACTTGGGTTTATCTGTATGTTTAAAGTTTTCTGCATTTAGTAATTTAAAAACAAAACAAAATGTATTATTAATAATGAACAACTTGTAGAAGGTATCTAGAAGGAGAAGATGAGATTTCAGAAAAGTTTAAATTAGGAAATAATGACAGTAAAGTGGTGGAAAGTAGCATTCTTGTTACAGAAGGGAATCTGTGATTATTAGAGATCTTTGAGAGAAGAGTAGGATATATATGCTTGATGGTAATCAGAGCAAGTGTACTTAAGAAAACAGTTGTAGAGGAAGCTAGTATAAGTGAACTATATGTAATTCACATTATTTTAAAAAGTTACTTGAGTGGTTCACAACTCTGTTATAAATATACTAAAAAGCATTGAATTATACACTTAGTAAACAGTTAAATTTTATAATACGGAAATTTCAGCAAGGCTTTTTTAAAAAAGCAGATTATCATATTTAGAGAATGAATAAAAAGGGATTTAGCTTTTCAGTATAACAATTTTTTAAGTGAAATTATCGCAATGGGGGAAATTATAAGAATTTGGGAACAAATATTCATAGTCATGCTTTTCATTATATGCCATAGTATTGCAGGGCAACCCCAATATGAAATGGGTTGGCCTGACTGGTTCCTCACCCACATGCTTAAAAGGAATTTACAGTGAAGCTTAACTACAGCACACACAAAAAGGTTAGTAAAGAGTTTATTTACAAAAAAAGGGGAAATGAAGAAATGAGTAACTTAGGGAGAAAGAGAGAAATAAATTGGTGAATGTATCCTACTAGTTTCGCTGAGCTGGAACCCCAGTAGCACTCTGAAAGTTGGTGAATAAACCAATCACCCGCAAGGCCTGTATGTCTGGTTATATACCAAACCTGGCTGCTTAACTTTATCCTCAGTTCCCAGAAGTCCTCCCTTTAGTGGTCATGACATTATGGAATTTGTAATCCTTTGTGTTTTGGATCTCTTTGGTCTGGGGTTGGAGGTAGGGTCCATAAAACCTGTCTGTTGAGTTTGTTCAGGACATCTTTTCCCTCCAACAATAGTATATGTAGAGGTATATAGATTAAATATAAAATTCAAATACAGAAAGTACAGATCACCCAGTTTTGGTTTGAGTTGAGTATAATTATTAAGTATGTAGAGATTTAATACTCTCCAGATACTATGTGGAAAATACCAGATTTAATCATATAAGCATTTTGAACATTTTTGAAATTGTTAGTGTGTGACCAAAGGGTACCCAGGGACCCAAACTATCAAGGGAGGCACGAGCCAAAGGGAGTGTACTGTCTGCCACATAAAGACAAAGGGAGCAGCCTCTTGGTGTGGAAGATCTTTAAAAGAATTAGTGTGCATAGAGAGGGACGAGAAGAGGGGGTGTTGCCCAGTAATACTCCCCAAATTACCCATCCCCTGTGGGAAAATGCCCAGTCAAACAGGGTTACCTGAAGCAAAGCTGCTGAGGCTGAAAAGCTTGCCATAAATCCATGGCATCTTCTAGCAGGGAACCACTGAAAAGGTGTTCTGAAGCAAGTCCCAAAGAGCTGGGACTGAAGGAGATACACATCAGGAGAATGCCTACCACTGTCAGCCTCCCCATGTGTCTCTTCCCAGAGTCTCTACTTATCTCTCCACATATCTCCTTTCATTGTCCCCACCAAGGCCCTGGTTGCAAGTCAAAGCCACAGAAGCCAAAGACCCCAAAAGTCCACCTGTCTTCTGTATTACAGAGCCTCACCTGGCTGCTCAGCTCTGTCCCTAGTTCAATAGGTAGTTCAAGGTGACTATGTATGAGTGGGGGTAGTGAAAATGGTATCTCCCCTAACATTAACATAAAGCAAAGCAAATGTTAAAAAATTAGAAATATTTGTGTAAGATGAGAAACCAGAGGATTCGTATTAACATCAGCTGTAAAAAATAAACGTGCCGTAAAAAATTTGGAAAATGCCATAAAGAGATGGTTCATTTTAAGAAAGAATTAACAATTATAAACAAACATGGATGATTTCTACTTCATTAACTATGAAACATGGTAGAATGTTCAACCTCCTTAACACCTTACAATTTTACACTGTGAAAACAACAAAATGAAAAATAATTAACAATTGTACATTTCCTTCATTCTTTCATTTCTCATAATTCTCATTTTATTATTAAGTTCATTTACTCAATAATAAATGTCTGCTACATACATGGTGGGTACTGCGTTAGGTATAGTGATGAATAAAATACTTTCCTTAATGTCATTTAACAAAATGTCCCCTACTGTTTCTCTCTTTAGCATTGCCTTATGAGTTCAGTCATTCCTTATTTGTTGTGTATAATTGTAATATTCTGAGTCTGTTGCTTTCACCTTGCTGAGGAATGCATTTCTTTCTTCAATAGTTATTAGTTAACGCGTTTGACTCTCTAGTGTTAAGTCCATTCAAGAAAAAGTAACTTGAATATTTTTTTGTTTTTATAAATTCTCTTTTAAAAGGCGTTTATAGAAATAAATAGAAAATCTGCAGATTCTATGGTAAACTTTTATACATGCTTCCCAATATCAATGGATGGAAACCAACTTTCAATAAGTATGGCTTCAGAAAACATGAATATAGAAGATGAGGTAAGTAATGGACTTACCATCATTTTTACTCATATTACTAGATTTTAAAATTAGTTTTACTATAGTCAGTTGTTTTCTTCTTTAGGTCACTTGTTTTCTCTCAGATGCTAAGAAAACTGCTTCCCATCACTTTCCTATCTGCCATCTTATCCCATTCCTCCTTTTGGGATAGGGAAAAAAAATTGGAAATCGGTAGAGAACACTAATCTTACTACCACCTGTTATCTAAACTAGAATCCCAATTTATTGTAAATTTTTTTTCTCTCATTTTGGACAACCAGTCACTAGGTCTTGCCTATTTTAACTCCTATATATTTCTGGAGTTTGTTCCTTTTCCTGCCATTTAACATTGCTTCATAAACCCTTTAAAAACCTACGCTAACTTAGTTCTTTTGCATCTTCATTTTTCAGTTTTGCCTTCAGTAAAGCCTATCTCCACAAAGTCACGAAACTGATAAAAAATTCAGATCTATTCAAATTTAACTCTTTAAGAAGCCCTTTGTTGTTTCTGTATGCCTACACATATTTACTATCAGCTAAGACACATGAGGCAGCGATATTAGAGGAAAGTGGGAATGCATGTGTTTTGAAAAGGCTTTCCCATTGAAAATCACTTTAACGTGATACAATTTCTGGGATTGTTTTATACATGTCAGTAGTGTCAAAAGAAAGTTCTAAGAACCACAATCTCTTAAGATGTTTGTTTCTTATACCTGTAAGCCTTCTGTTAGTTGGCCTCCTTATCTCTTGTCTCATTACTCTTGGCTTCTCTAATTCAACAGCTCAAAATTGCTGTATATGTAATATGATGTGCTGATTTGTACTAGCCTACATCTCTGTTCTTCCTTTTCTCCTGCTTTTCAAGGTTCACTTTTTGTTTTTAATTTGAATTCTCTTACTGTCTGCTAAATTAAGCCTTTTAGTCCTTGTATGTGACTTTGAGTGTACTTTCCTATATAGAACCTATATAGATAGAATCTTTAATGTAATTAGAGGAGTAGGAAGAATCAAGTGGATGGATTGGGTGGGAGTTAGGTAAATTGTTAAGGAAAAGTACAAGATTTTTGGAAGAACAAAACTTCTGACTCATTTTATAAAATGGTGCTTAATGCATATTTGTGTAGGTTGCTTTATTATAAATTTTGATTAATTACATATATGGATGAGGAAGAACTTAACACCTTTAACCTTTTTTTTGGCTTTTTAGGAAGCTATATTTGCAACTTTGATTAAAGAAAGTGACCCAGAGGTGAGTTTTGTATTTAAGTGCTTTTTTGCACACTTGTTTATTTACAGCTTTGTTTACCTGTTAGGAATTAAAGAAACCTTAGAAGTTTAAAACATTGAGGGGATGGTGATGTCAAATGGGTGGGTCGTCTTTCGTAAAAATAAGAAATGAAGGGTGATGGTACGTCTTGATGTGTCCAAAGACTGGAGCTCTATTAAGTGGCCAAATAGGTTAAAACCCTGTCTGAGGCTGTTTTGGGAAAATACTATGTTGATAGAAGGAAGATTATACTTCCTGTTTAGTATATTCTTGCACTGATTGCTCAGATCTAAAATTAAGACTTCACTACCTTATCTTCATCCACATTTTTTTAGTCTGGGAGATACCATCATCTAATTCTGAAATTGGATTACTGTTAATCTATATTTTTCTTTTTTTATGATGTCCCCCCAAAAAATACAGGCAGATATAGATAAAATTTATAGTCGATTTGTACATCTTGATAACTTACCAGAAGATGGACTTCAGTGTGTACTTAATGTTGGACTTCAGTTTGGAAAAGTGGATCACCACATATTCATGAGTAATAAAAACAAGGTAACAGTGTCCCTCCTACTTCAGCTATATGTACTGTAGAGATAGATAACTGAATCCTGTTTTCATCATCTGTAACTTGTGCTCCTGAAGTGAAGTAGTTATAAATGTTATGTAGCCTCTTAGAATTATGATAGACCAATATATATTCTTCTGGACTGTGACAGGAGGCTATCTTTCCTCAAGAATTCCTGGTTTAAAGGGAATATAAAACTTGCACAAGGGAGAAAGGTATATAGTACAAAAAACATTACCTTGCTGGTAAGTTAGACAAAAATTCATCTAGCTTTAACTACCTTTGTGACCTTGGCTAAGTTGCTTTGCGTTTTCAGTTTCTATTTGTAAAATGAGAGTTTGCCATGTATTTTCTAAAAGTCCCTTCTAGCCATGAAATAACAAAAGCTTTAGGTCTGTTTACTTAGTTAAGTGGAAACAAACATAAAATTATCAATTCTTCTTTATGTAATTGGACCTTTTTTCCATATCGGAAATTGTTAGCTTCTTAAATTTGCTTTGTTCTCTGTGTTTAATTTTTAGTTCATATACATATCCATTAAAATTCAATTTTGATCTACCATGAAATACCTAGAAGAGTAAGACTTCATATCAAAATTCATGATATATGTATTATATATTGATAAAGAACTTGATATTAATTTCTTTAGCATGAGTCTAACTAGTACTTGGAAGATCAATTTGGTACTTTAGAAATAATGTGACATAGGATGAAAGGGAGATGATAGATGGCATAGTGAATAATGAACCTTCACTTCAGACAGTTTTAATCTTGTTTTTAAAAATACCTACCTCTGAAAAAGAAGGAAAAAGAAGGAAACCGAACAAAGTGTCAAAAAAAAAAAAAAAAGACAAAACTTTCAGACAGACTATAGCTCTAAGGAATACAGCAGGGGAAGGGGAGCGAGATGGGTCAAAATAGGGGAGGGACTAAATAGGGTAGAGGATGGTTCACTGATGTGGTGGTAGGAGATTTACAGGGACTTCACCTGAGGTGAGAAATCAAATACTGTACAAAAATAAACTGATGTAAGAAAATTTAAAAGTCTAATTAAAAAAAAAACACCTTTTTCAATTTTGCCTTGACTTTGTAACATTGTAGGATTGTTGTCCCTTGTTTACTTTGAAATAAGGATTAACCTTACCTTTGATCTTTGATATAACATGTTTTAAGTCTGGAAGAAATGTAAATTCATACTTCTAAAAAATTAGAGATTTTTTTCATTGTGGTAAAATATATAATAAAATATACCTTAACCATTTGAAGTGTCAGTTTACTGTCATTAACTATATTCACATCATTGAATAGTCATCACCAATATCCATCTCCAGAACTTTTTCATCTCCCTGAACTAAAAAATTCTCTGTCCATTAAACATCAGGTTCCTTATCCTCTTAGTCCCTGGCAACCATCATTCTACCATTATACTTTCAGTCTATGAATTTTACTATTCTTATATCTTTTATTAGTGAAATCAAGCAGTACTTGTCATTTTGTGACTTACTTTTTTAGCATAATGTGTTAGAGCATGTGTTGTAGCATATGTTAGAATTTCCTTCCTATTAATATTCTTATTAATAGCTGTTTCTGTTATAATCCTCCATTGTATGCATACACCACATTTTGTTTATCCACTCATCTGTTGCTTCTACCTTTGGCTGTTATGAACAATATTGGTGTACAAATAATCTCTTTTGAGTTTCCTTATTTTCATTTCCTTTGAGTTTATACCAAAAAGTGGAATTACTAAATGGTATATAGTAACAGTATTTCTCATATTTAAAGGAATTGTTGAAAACTTTTTCCCCAAAGGCAATTCTTCAGCTTGATAGTCCTGAATCTGCTCATTCTATGTACAGCTTTCTGAAACTAAATCCACAAAACATAGGGGACCACATATTGACCTGCACATTATCTCCAAAGATTGATTCATCAGAGGTAAGTATCAATTTTTGCGTTTTTTACAAAAAAAAAAAAAGAAAGAAAGAAAACGTAGAAGACATTGTCCCAAAATTAGAAGAGGAGCCCTGCAGGGAATTCCAGTTCTGAGTTTAGCTAATCTTTTCTTTTAAAACTTGTTTGCAATTACTGTTCTACTTTTTTCATGAATTATGTAGCAGTATAATTTGTCTAAATTGAGATAAATTATTCTTTCCTTTATTTTTTTCTTTAAGATATATTTATTTATGCATACAAGAACTGGGGTACAGGCCAGAGGTGCGGGGGGGAGTGAGAGGATTCACCAGAGACAGAGTGGGGAACAGAAAAGGCAGACTGACTGAAATTCACTGCTGAGGGAATCAGTGGGTGAGACAGGAGAGGGCTGCTGCGCCATGTTCATAGCTCTCTGGCTGGCTGGGCATCGAACTTGTGCTGCAGAGGCTGCAGATAGCTTCACAGTACTGTGCTTAACCCCTTGCACCACCAGGGAGGCCCAACCTTTAAATTTACTTACAGACTCTGTTGTATAAATATGCAATTTTTAAAATAGGCTTTTAGCTTACGTAGTAATGCTACTGGTATGAATAGTTTACCTTTGAAAAAATTATATTCATACTCATTTTTTTTTTTATTGAGGTAAGATTGGTTTAGTACACCATGTATGATTCAAAGGTATGGGATCACACCTCTTCAGATATATGTTACCACGCACCCACCACCAAAGCACCTATAATTCTCTGCCATATTCATTGGGCCCCCTCCACACCCTGTACTACAAACCCCTCCTCTGGTAGCCTCAATTTACAATCAGACTTCTAGGATTTCTTTCTGTCAGGCTGTTTTGTTTCTCTGTATTCCACATATAAGTGAAACTGTTACTGGGCAAATGAGAGGCACCCTGGGACCTCCAAACCTGTATGCTCTAATAGGTTCTGCCATCTGTCACCTAGACAAGACATATGCAGTGCATAAGACCTTCAGTAGAAAAGAACTTTAATAGAATTAGTGTGCAATAGAAAGAAGCAAAGATAATTAATAGTTTCTAGTTCAACACCCAAAGTTACCTATCCCCTTGTGATTAAATGTCCAGTCAAACAAGGATGACTCAAAGTGGTGCCTCTGAGGCCCTAAAGTTGCCACAAGTCTAAGGCACCTTCTGGTAGGGAACCGAAGGAAAAGGGTAAAAGGGGCCAGACAAGTCTGGAAGAAAAGGAGCAAAAGCAAAATACATGATAAGATAAAGGCTGCCATTATAGCTTCCCCATGGGTCTCTCACCTACGTCTCTTTCAAGTATCTCCTTCCATGTCCCCCAAGACTGTGGTACAAGTCCAAGGCCGAGAAACAAGCACGCTTCTTCACCTGTTTCTCTGCTCTATGTCCCTCCAAGTCTTCTTAGTCCTCTCCCTAGTTCTTTCTAGCTTCTCCTCACTGCTCAGCTCCACCCTTCCTTAGGCGGGACAGGGAATCTGGAACCTCCCCTTATCTATGGAGATTACACTGTTAAAGAACCATCTAGTATTTGTCTCTGGTCTTCTGACTTACTGCACTCCAGTTCTGTCCATGTTGTTGCAAATGGCAAGAGTTCAGTGGTTCAACTTTTTTTTTTTAAAGTCTGAGTAGTATTCTATTTTGTGTATACCACTGCATCCTAATCCACCTATTTGTCTTGGGCACTTAAGATTGTTTCCATAACTTGGCTATTGTAAATAGTGCTGCAGTGAATAGAGGCGTGGACATATCCATTTGCTTAATTTCTTTTTTTGCATTCTTAGAGTTGATACCTAGGAATTGCTAGATCATAGTAGACCTATTAGTGTTTCAAGAAACCTCTGTACTGTTTTCCTTAGGACTAGACTAATCTCCATTTCCATCAAGAGTGTGTGAGGGTTCCTTTTTTCTCTACATCCTTTGCAAAGGTTGTTGTTTCTAGTCTTTTTGATATGGGCCATTCTCACAGGTGTGAAATGGTATCTCATTGTGGTTTTGATTTGCATTCTGATGGTAAGTGATGATGAGCATTTTTTCAAGTGTCTGTTGGTCATCAGTATATCTTCTTTGCAGAAGTGTATTTAACTCATGCCTTTTTTTTTTTTAATTGGGTTGTTTTGTTTCTAAGTTGTATGAGTTCTTTCTAGATCTTGGATATCAGTCCCTTTTCAGATATATGGTTTGTAAATATTTTCTTCAATCAATAAGGATTTCTCTCTTGTTTTGGTTGCACTCCCTTTCACTGTTCAGAAGCTTTTTAGTTTGCTGGAGTCCCAATTGTTTATATTCTTTTTTATTTTCTTTGCTGTTGGAGAAGAATCCACAAAGACATCTCTGAAGCTTATGAGTGTTTGTTTTGTTTATATTTTCTTCTTTGTATTTTAGTTCTATAAGTATAGTTACCCAACAAACAAAGCATAAAGTTTTAGTTCTAAATACTGAGAACTAATATCTGCATCTTTGACACCTTTATGAAGGTATTTACTGCAGAATTAACAGTCATGAGAGCCAGTCTATGTAGAAGGAATTATAACGTGTTTATGACTTGTATAACTTTGCTTGACTTCCTTATAGTCCCAGTCATATCTGAAAGTGATATTATGTTTTTGTTTTCTTGAGTATAACTTTTCTTTATTGTTAGGAGCTGTCTTTTGGTAGTGGTATTGGAAGGGACAAAGAAGAGTGTCTTTATGTTACTTTTCTGAGTTACTTTTGACATATCTTGGATTCAGTCTCTCTTAGATAATGTTGATGTTTGCTAGAGTATGTTATGAAATATTATTTTCCCCAGAAAGTATGTGTTGGGAGTAAACTTGGTGAATCCCTACGTTTTGAAACTAATTTTATTTTTGCTCTTACGTATTTCACTGATAACTTGCCTATATGGAGAATTTTGTGCACAGATGGCTTTTTCCTTTCTTTTTTTGTCTTAAACAGTATTGTTGAAAAAGCTGATTCTCACCATACCTTTATGTATTTGTACTTCTGAAAACTTTTAACATTTATTCTTTAATTCATTAAACAAATACTAATTCATTTAAGCCAGTACTGTTTTAGACATTGGAATACATTGATAGAGGAGTCTGTGTCCCAGTCCTTACATCCTAGAAATAGATTAGAATTGCACACACACACACACTATGAATGTGTATGTATGTAAATATATAATGTCCTGGTAAACCAAGATAAAAAGGTTAGAAAGTGATGGATGAGGGGATTTGTATTTTAGAGTGTTTAGGGATAGACTCTCTGAGAAGTATATCAAGGATAAAAATAAGATTTTTAGACAGAAGAACATGAACTAAGGCCTTAAGGACACATTTGGTATTCAAGAATCTCCAAGGAGGATGAGTATGGCTAGTGCAGTGGGCAGCAACATTTTATTTTGGTTTAGGTCCTGCATCCTTCTTTTAGAACTCTCAGTGAAAAGTGCTAAAGATTATTGTGTTCCAAAATGGGACTATGGAGGTGGGACTGTGGGTGCTTTGGTGGTGGGTGTGATGTGGTAACACCACCTGAAGTGGGAGAGCCTACCTCTAAAACAGAAATAATGTAAACCAATATTAAATCAGTTTAAAAAGTCACTGTGATAAAAAAGATTAGTGTGTTTCTTTACCTGATTTCTCTTATTCCTTATTTCTTTAATTTTTTTCAAATTGTAATGCTTTGTCTTCCTGGAAATAACACATATACTGATTTTGGGGAGACTCCATCCTATCTAATTTTTCTACAGAATATTTTAGAGAACTTAAAATTTAAATTTAAAGATTTTTTTTAAAGCTCTTCTGTGAAATATATGCAGCCAGTTTTGTATGCTTATTTCATTCTCTCTTATTCATTTTTGAAGAAAGAAACAAGTTAGCTAGTACAGGTATCTGGTATAGATTTCTTCTAATATCACATAAGATATTTTTCTCTCTAACAAGCTACTGCCATGAATCTACACACTCTCTGTAGATGGGGCTTATCAGCTACAGTCTTCAATTTCAATTGTATACCACTATGATGTAGACTGAGTAGCCCATCAGATACCCCAGTATAAAAGGCCTTTTTTCTGGAACTGCAATACCCACATCAGGAATCTTCTCTAGGTACATTATTCAGTTTCTTTAAAGGGCAATTCTTGGTTTTTAATCTGACATAATCTAGAGAAAGGTAATTGTTGACTCAGAGCACTCATGATTACCACCTAAAAGGCTTCCACCAAGTATATATAAGCTCAAAGACATTTTTTGCTGTTTTGTTCACAAATGTGTCCTAAGCTCCTGGACCTATCCTTGTGACATAGGCACTGAATTTTAATTCCTATTCCATGTTGGGCTCTAGGATGTTGCTTTCTTTGTGTTTATATGTATAAAAGGATTTTTTTTTTTTTTGGACAAAAAGGATTATTTTCTTGGACAAAAGTTTTCAGTAGAAAACTTTTTAAGCCAATTAGTTGCTCCCTCATAAATAAAAGTCTTTTAAAATACTAATTGTAGAAGGAATATGTTGACTTTTCAGGTTTTTATTTTTAGCAAAAGGTGATAGTCCCAGACTTTGAAAGTTAAAGAAGTTTCTTATTTACATCAACATGAAGGAAACTTATGTTTCTTGTTAGTTACTATATAGCAGATAATTCTTTAGAACCTAACTTACCAAGTGAGGAAAAAATTCTGAAGCTTGATAGCTAGGTTAGGTGGTAAAAACTAGCTATTTTGATATATTTAAGATGTAGTTTTGCTTTTTAGTTTAGATATTAAGACATGAAAGCATTGCATTGATGGGTTAAATATTTAAAATCCAGTAGAATAGCCTCTTAATAAAACATGGAATTATGTTACAGACTCAAGCTGAGAAAGACCCAGAACTAGGAAGAGAAAGGTATGTTGTTTTAAATTTGCTAAAAATTTCCTGTAATATTTAATTATTTTTCTTTATATTTCTAGTAATTACAGCAAAAAAAATTTCTTGTCTTACATGTTCATTTTGTAAATATGAGTGTTTGGGTTCCCCTTTTTGGATCTGTTTGACCTAAGGTTTTTGTTTTGTTTTGGTTTTCAGTCTCTTTCAGGTATTTATTGATTTTATTTTAAGAAAAATGATGTATAAACAGTTTAATTAATATCCAAATAGTTCTCTATTAAATGTTTTGCTAAGACTCTTTGAACAACCTGACTCTGTGATGAGTATTTTATTCTTTGTTAGACTTTTCTATTCTAAAATGGTTAGATACAAAAGTAAAATTTTAATCTTTCTGTATATCTTTTAAATTTCACCTACTTAAAAACAAATAATCTAAAGTATGTCTTGGGGTTGGGGAAGGAGTATTTGTAAAATAAAATAATTATGCACACTGCTTTACATTTTCAGAGTATGAAAACTTGTTCTTCAGAGTCTACACAAGCTAGTGACCTTGTTTTGATCACATGTAGATTTTCTCTTCTAAGTGACTTTCTTACCCTGAGACACACCATCCTTTTCATGGTCTTGGTCCCACCAATTAATGACCTTCCTTTCATTCTTCATTTCAAGTCACTGATTTAAAATTCTTTTCCCTTGTTGAATAACTAAATGCTTTATTTACCCTTATTTGTTAGAGTCCATGAGTTTATGAATTTGAAAAAGCAGGAGGGATTAGGGTCAAAATAAGGGGGGTGGGACTTATATGGGGAATACAACCAAGATGAAAATGCATACATTGTGCAAAAATGAAAAATGATGTAAAAATATATATAAAATAAAAAAAATGAGCTAAAAAAATTTGAAAAAGCTGCTTAAAAGTAGTTTAAGTATTTCATACACTAATTCTAAGATGCCTGGGAAACAGGATGTCTTATTTTTCTTCTAATTCATTCTTATGAGACCTTTAAATGATAATGATTATAAATACATTAAAGTACATTGGTGATTTCATCCTCCTGTCCCCTCCCCCATTACGTTAACATTGGTAAGCATTCAGTTTGTTTTAACCAACAGCAGTGTTTGATATAAAAGTGCACAAAGGGCTTTTATAAGTAATATGCCACATGTAGTAATATAGCTACACTATTACAGACTGTTTGACTATACAGACTGTTTGACTATACAGACTGTTTGGCCACACTAATTCTGGCTGGTAGGTAAGGAGGCCCTTCCAAAAATCCATTTTATGTATTTCATTTTCACTAAATTTCTTTCAAGTCTGCAAAAACAGCTGCTATTACAGTTTTGGTAGTATTTTTCCCTCTCACTATTTTGACTTACCCTTTAAAATCAAAAACTTCTTAATGAAATTACAGGTAGTTGCCCAATCTTATAAAATTTTAAAAATTCTAGCTAATGCATAATTCCTATTTTGAAAGTCAGTCTTTCCTGACTTATATATAGAAAAAGATGTGGGATATATATAGCCCAAACACTTCACATTTACATGGGTAAAATGATAACTGAGGAAAGACTAGTTCTTTTGTGTTTTTGTTTTTTTAAAGCATTTGTGAGTGCTTCATCATCATTTATCAAGAATATGATCATGTTTATAATTAATGTATTTAAATATATTACTATTTAAAGGAACTCTTGTGTGGATATGTTAATAATTTATACTACTTTATATTTTGCCTGTTCTCATTCTCCCTGTCCCCTTAAACATTATTTATCCTGTAATTAAGGCTCCTAATAAGGGTGCTAGATGAAATTTTCACCAATTCGCCATTCATTACTAATGTTGGGAATTACGCAGTTACCCTCTGAAATAAATACTAATCTTTAGTATTGTTAAATCTTCGTCTAAGGTTTCTCAGAAAGTGTATGCTATGGTGTTAACCTTTGTTCTGCCCAACTTTTAAAGGTTTAGAAATTAGTGTTATGGGGGGATGGGATGGGATGGGATGGGCAAGAGAAATTAGATAAGCTGTATCCTGATTACCTTCCTGGGGTGTTTTTTATGCCATTTCCCAGAATATGATTGTGTTTGCCTTTAATCTTTTAAAAGATTGGTTGTTTGACTCTGGTGTTAATAATTTCATTTAGTTGACATTTCAAAGTGATTTTCCAAGCTAACCTTAAATCGCTGAGACTTTTCCTATATTAGCCAGAAAACTAGATATTTTTGGTATAGAATTCTGCACAGAGTGCTATCATTTTAAAAGAGCAGCACACAAGAACAAAGATGAATAAAGCCATTTTTTCAAGTATTCTGACATGTGGGACTGCATAGTGATTCATTTTGTATAAAAATGATAGGTTTTTTTTTTTTAATTGACAGACTTTAAGCATTGTAGTGGGGAAAGGATTTGTTATATAATGGAACCAGAAGTCAAAATCTCTGTTGTTATTCTTTTAGCCCAGTAGATTTTATAACCCTTACTTGTAAAGCCTTTAGGGTTAAAGTGCAATTCTGTAATAAGAGAGGAATTTGAATTTAATCTTTATCATTGGAGGTGAGTCTTGTAGTTTAAAATGAAAATGTATTTCAATAATGTTTACATACTGATCATTCTGAAAGTCACAACTTTGTCATATTTGTGTATGGCTACAAATTTTATTTTGACTAGTCCTAATTTGGAATACTTTTAAAATCAGTTATTAGTATTTTGGAATACAAGGTATGTGAATTACTTAAAATAAAAACCTTTAATCCCTTTCAACAAAAATGGGTACCTTACCCAATGAATAGAATCCATATTGACTACGTTCTGTGGTAACTAACCATTTAACTTAAATTCTTCAAACTCTTTGCCTTTATACTTTCATCAAGAGCCCTTTAGCTGATGTTTCAGAAATTTTCTCATTTGGAAGTTTAGACTAAGCATATTTGGGGGAAGTCCAATTTATTGTCTTAAATGATTATACCCTGATGTGATAGCACTTTTTCCATACTTCGGACATATTAATGTTTCTGGGCACAGATACGTATCATCTTGCATTAATTTTTCCTTTATTGATTTGTGTTGATAACATGATGGACATTGTCTTTAGACTCTAAGTTAATTTTCCTTTTTATTCTTCAAGATAATTTATAATCTATGGAGTATTAAGTGTAAAAATAGTTTCTTCTGTTTCTGTCTCAGTGAAAGTATTTGAATTTTACCATCAGACATTTCTGTTTACTTTGGAGTTGGACAGACCACTGAAAGATCAGTTGCAAATACTTGCCATATATTTACTCTGTTTCTTCTGAATAATTTTTACTTACAACTTTTAAGTTTTGTATTGGAATTGTAAATTATACTTTGTAACTGGAAAGATTTCTTTAAACATATTCTTTCTCAAAAGGCAGCCTGTCACATTTTATAAAACCAACAACATGTTAAGCTAATCCTGTCAGTTTTGCCTATACCTTTAAATCCCCAACAGAATATTTAAAAGATACCCTCCAGTGAAAATTTTCTTTTAAGTACTATTGTTGAATACAGTTCTTGGGAAGTTGAAAAACAGATCTTTCTCACATCCATAGAGGAAAGGTGATGTGGCTAAGAGTAAGGCCTTACCTTACTAGTTTCTGTTTATGTTCATTTCAGTTAGTTGAGTTTAAGTAGGCGTCACTTAAAAAATTTTAAATTTCATTGCATGGATCATTAGTTTTATTGTTGAACTATCATTGTTGAACTATCACAGTTAGGAAGATAGGCTGATCTCATATTTACATTTGATCTTCCAATGGCAAGTGTAAACTTGACACAGAAGGAAAAAAATGATAACTAACATGAGTGTAAGGATCATATCAATGGCCATGATTTTGCCAACACAATGGAGGATTCTCTTTAAAATTTTATATTGCTTACATATTTACATTAAAACATCTTAACCATTTTAATGCTGATTGGCTGGATTTCCCAGTGCTTGCTATTAATGCATCAGGAAGTCTTAACAATTAGCATCAACAGTCTTATTTATAATGGTTGAACTCTCATCATAGTTTGATTTTTGTTTTGTTTTTGTTTGTGTTTTTTTGTTTTGTTTTGTTTTTAAATACTTTTAGCCCTGACTTGAAAAACAGTCCTGTTGATGAAAGTGAGGTGCAGACAGCAGCTGATAGTCCCTCTGTTAAACCTAGTGAGGTTGAAGAAGAAACAGTTGTCAACATTCAAACAGAAACTTCTGTACAACAGGACGAGCCTTGTGAGGAAGAACCTGAAAAAGTGCTATGTGACACTGACTTTACTTTTGAAACATTGGAAATTGAAACTCAAGAAGAGGAGGTCAAAGTGGAATTTCCTCTTGTAGCACCCACTCCAGCCAGTATTGAATTATTCACTGAAAATGTAGAGGAATCCGTTTTAAATCAGCAGGTATATACTAGTGACTTTGATAAGGAAGAGGCAGAAATTATTAACCCTGAAACAGAATTATCAACATCTGACAGTGCATTTGTGGACGAAAGGAATATCAAAAGAATTCTGGAAGAATCTCCATCTGATGCAGAAGATTTCTTTTCTGGGATTACACAGTCTATGATAGAAGCTGTAGCTGAAGTGGACAAACATGAAGCTGTTTCAGAAGTAGTACCATCTGCTTGTGTTATGGCCTTAGTACCAGGAATTTCTACTGGGGATGAGAAGTCACTGAACAAAAAGGGAGTTTCTGAAATTAGTAATATGGATGAAAAGGAGGAGAATGAATGCAATACTAAGGAAACCAGAATGGATCTGCAGATGGGAACGGAGAAGTCAGAAAAAAATGATGCTAGGATGACAGTGGAGAAGTTGGAAAAGATTATGACAGCAGTGAAAGAAAAGCCTGCAGAAAATGCTGTGATCAAGGTATATCCAAATAAAGGAGTAGGTCTGACCAATAAGCCTGATGAAACTAGTAAAACTAGTGTGCTGGCTGCATCAAATGCATCTAGCAGTAAATCAGCTATCAAGGCTGGCCTGTTCTCTTCTCCAAAGACAAAAGCTACAACTTCAAGATCTGAAAATCAGAAAAGTTTTTTAAGATCTGTATTCACAGAAAAGAAACTTTCAGCCAAGGAATTTGGTCTGTTTAAACCTGCAAGTGCCAGATCAGGCTTGGCTGAAAGCAGCAGTAAATTCAAATCTACTCAGAGTGGTGTCACCAGAGGAGGCAGTGGAAGGATCTCAGCCCTGCAAGGAAAGGATTCTAAAGTGGATTACTGGGATTTTACAAAACAGTCTCAGGAAACAGAGGCTAGATCTTCCATCATGAAACGGGATGACAGCAACAATAAGGTGAGGAGGATAGGAAGAATGGCTCAATGTATCCTTGACGGGATTAGCTCTGCCATTGTAGCTATGGAGTAGAAGATGTAATCTTGTTTTACCTTTTCATCTCCTTACTCCACTCCCAAACTCCCATTTCCCGTTCTTAAATAAGTCCATTGATTTAAGCCAATAGACATTTGGAGTAATAATAAACTCAAGTTGTAACTTATTAACAGGTTTGAAAAGCATTATTTGGGTAAAATGTGGTCAGAAATACAACTTTGTGGTTTTAAAAAAAAGTTGCAGTGAATCTCCTGAGGTGACTTAGCACTCTGCTTCTGAATGGGAAACTGTTTTGTCTTTTAAGTTGAAACTTTATCAGTTTACTGATTGCCCAACTTAGAGTATGGCTGTAGAGAAGAGAAAGTATCAATAAAACGATATTTAACTACATTTTATAGAGATGATGCATGTACTGTTAAATGATTGTTGACTTAGTTTGGCATACCTATTGTTTGTATAATTGAATGTGTTTGAATGTTTGCTGTTTTGAATTTTTTAAAGTGAATTAATAACCTAATTATAAATTCTCTGTTTCTCTTTATTTCTTACTTAATATTTCAGACTTTGTTTGGGCAAAACACTAAGAATCCTAAAAGCACCACTGCTAGAAGTTCCAAATCTAAAGAGGTAAAAAAATGCTAACATTAACACCAACTGTTTGTATTCTCTCATTAATAGCTTGTGTCTCTTCTATAATAATTAGTTTGATATAGAGCAAGGGAGAAGACTGAGGTGTTTTATTTTATTTATTTTTTTATAGAGGCATGTTTTATTTATTTGTTTGTTTGTTTGTTTATTTATACATGCACTGGGTACAGTCAGAAGCATGGGAGGGTGAGAGAATTCACCAAAGCCAGAGGTGTTTTATTTTTGATCCTGCTACCAGTTTTTATTTTGAGCTTGAACTAGGCTAAATAGTTTATGTCTTTGGTATAGGACAGAAGTTACACAGAGAGGGAATTTAGAGAAGGAAAATAACCTCCAAGCTTATACTGATAGAAATTGGTTATAAACACAAAATAAGGTCATGTTTAAGGGAGACTTTGACTGGAGTCCTCCCTGTTTTGTAGATTTCCAAACAGATGGCCATTTTGTTACTACTTTTTAACCTAATTGGATGGACTTATAAGATTTACTTTCCTTGTATTGAGGTTTTGCCAAATAAACATCTTACCTTTTATATTTGGTTGTTTGATACTTTTAGATTTCCAACATTCAGGGCCTCCCCGGTGGCGCAGCAGTTGAGCACTGGGTTGCGAAGCTGCCCGCGGCCTCTGCGGCGCCGGTTCAATCCCCGGCTGCTCCCCGGCCACTGGAGGAGGGTCCCGCATGGCGCGCAGACCTCTCCTGCCGCCCGCTGCTCCCCTCAGCAGTGTACTTCGGTCCTTCTGCCTACTCTGCTCCCCGCTCTGGCTCTGGTGAATTCTCTCACCCTCCCGCGCTTCTGACTGTACCCAGTGCATGTATAAACAAAACAAACAAATAAATAAATAAATAACATGCCTCTATTAAAAAAAAAAAAATTCTATAGATTTCCAACATTCATAAGATATTTTTTAGTCATTTTACTTTTTTCCCAGATAGGGGATGGATTTGAGGCTAGTTTATTGGCATAGTGATAAACAGTAGCTTTTAAGAAGCAGAAATAAGGATTGTGGTAGTTTCGTTGACTTATTAATAAGTTGGTACAATTGCTTATGATTTTTATCCCCCTCTCCCCGCTTCCCCATTACTGTATGTATATTCTAAAGTCAACTAGTCGCTAAAGTCAACTAAAGTCGCTAGCATACCAAGTGTATTGTAGATTGAGTGGAAAAATAATCTTCTTTAGTGTTGGGACCATTGTTCAAATTACAGATTTTTTTTTTCAAATAGTTATATTTAGGATTAAGTTTTAATAATTTTCTATGTAACTTTCTTAAAATACAGACTATAAAGTCTTAGTGTTGAATATCTGAAAATATGTATTGTATATATAAAATGGTCAGTGGAACAATCTCACTAGGTATTTTACTTTGTAGCTACTTTTGAGGTGTTTTTAGGAGTCCATTAAAACTCAGGGAGAACTTGTTAATATGTCATTTAATATATGGAATGGTTAATTATTTACATTGTATCATTGACATTTACTTTAAATGTTTTTTTTTTTGTGTATCATATTTCAAAACTACACATCACCTGGAAAATAAATGTAATCTTATTGGAGCTAAGTAAAGATGGAATTAGACTGATACTGCTAGCACATTATCTTTGAAAGGGTCTACTTTGTGAATTACAGCTAATTCTTTTGTAGGCCTTTTAAAATTAATTTCAGCTTTCAGAAAACTGAATTTCAGTAAAATGACAAATTCTCACAAATGATACTTCATGTACATTTACTGAACTATCTGGAACTTAATCCAGTTATTAGTAGTTATTCACTATTCAATTCTGTTTTGTTTTTTTACTCTTTGAATAGGAATTACTATTATTTTCATTTAATTTGGATGAATTTGTTACTGTGGATGAGGTTATAGAAGACGTAAATCCTTTTCAAGTGAAGCAGAATACACTAAAGGGTAAAAGGAAAGAAGCTGTCAAAAATAACCCTTCTTCTGAACTTAACTTAAAGAAGAAAAAGGGAAAAACTTCTGCCTCACGTGTTGTTGAGGGAGAACTCTCTTTTGTAACATTGGATGAGATCGGGGAAGAGGAAGATACAGCTGCACATCTAGCACAGGCTCTAGTCACTGTGGATGAAGTAATTGATGAAGAAGAAATTAATGTGGAAGAAATGGTAAAAAATTCAAATTCTCTTCTTACACTAGATGAATTAATTGATCAAGATGACTGCATTTCCCACAGTGAACCTAAAGACGTTACTGTATTGTCAGTGGCAGAAGAACAAGATCTTCTTAAACAGGAACGCTTGGTAACTGTGGATGAAATTGGAGAAGTAGAAGAGTTACCTTTGAATGAGTCGGCAGATATAAGTTTTGCCACTTTAAATACTAAAGTAGATGAGGGAAGTACTGGAGGGGAAGCCATTGGGTTCATTTCTTCTCAGATGCCTGAAGACCCTTCTACTTTAGTTACAGTAGATGAAATACAGGATGACAGCAGTGAACTGCATTTAGTGACTTTGGATGAAGTAACTGAAGAGGATGAAGATTCTTTGGCAGATTTTAACAACCTTAAAGAAGAACTTAATTTTGTTACTGTTGATGAAGTTGGAGAGGAGGAAGACGGAGACAATGATTTAAAAGTTGAGTTAACGCAAAGAAAAAATGACCATCCTGCAGATAAAAGAGGGGATAGAAAAAAGAGAGCTACAGACACAAAGAAAACAAAACTTGAAGCCTTATCCCAAGTGGGCCCAGTAAATGAAAATGTTATGGAAGAAGATCTGAAAGCCATGATTGAAAGACACTTTACAGGTATAAACTTATAAATGTAGTTTTTCTGTTCTTTGAGAGGGGTTACCTTTAAATTTTTTAAAAAATAAGTGTTGTGGCACTCCTAATAATTTCATCCTGTATTAATATGAAAAGCCAACAAATAGTTAGTGATATTTTCCAAGTAATTGTATACAGATTTCACACATTTCTCTTACAAAGCAAACTTTGCCCTAAGTTTTATATTATGATGACAAAACCAGAAAGCAAACTAGATTACTCAAATTAGAATTGGAATGAAAATGATATGCTTGTATTGAGAAAACTCAGCTTCTGATGAACAAAAGGTTGTTTATTCTAGAGTACCTCCCAATTTTTGCTTAGACTTAGGATTTAGAAAAATTCATAAAGATAACAATCCACGATTAAGTAGTATTTTGATGGTATAGAATGATAGGTGAACTCACTTTCCAGAATTTGAGGGATATCAAAATAATCAGTAAGAAAATTTTGAGAGATTTAACTAACAATAAAAAATCCTAGAAAGGTCCCACATGTTTATGGAACGAAATATGAAAAACTATATATAGGCTCCTCAGGAAAGCAGGTAGAAAGGTGTAGTTTTTTGGAACAAGTTAAATGGAAAAGTAAAAGGATAATGTTTAGAGCAATACTAAATTATTTTTAAAATAGAATTTTCCTATTTTATATTTGAAATAGGCTTGCTTCCCAAATTTGAGTATTACTTATAAAAAAGAGGTATTTAAAATGTTATTTTGAATTATAAGCAATTAAAATGCTATAAACTATAGCAATAAATTTGACTTTCTCTTTGAAGCTAAAACACCAACCAAGAAAGTTAGAATTGGGAAAATGCTACAATCAGAAAAAGCTATTGCCACAGAACCAGCAAAAGGTGAAGAGGTTTTCCAAATGACTGAAGGTAAAGGGAGACTGATGGAAGCGGGAGGAGCATAACATAATACATGTTAGTGGTTGGAGTTCCAAAAATCTACCATTTGAGAAGTAGAGAACCAGTGACATATAAAACTTGAACTTAAGTAATTATAGAATTTGAACTTCCTTCATTATCCTTTAATTGCTTTGTGGAACAATGTATCAATAAAATTTGCCATTTGCTTTTGTCTTTTTTTCCCTGAAATGGTTGAACAGGTTTATGCATTGAGTCCTTATATCAAATAATACTGGGAAAGTGATTAGGTGGGACTAACCAAGGAAGGCTTACTTAGAGAAATGAACCATAAATTCATCTTCAAAGGCAGGAATTATGGGTGTTAGCTTCATACAGTCTGTAAATCTATTTTGAATAACTTTTCTTCCTTGAAAAATTTAATGACTTCAGTTGATGAAGATTCTGAATTAAAGGATTCAGAACCCGAACGAAAACGCAAGAAGATTGAAGACTCTTGTTTAGAAAAATCAGTGGCATCTGATGTCCCTGAAGGTAAGGTAAAAAAGACGTTTTTTCCTTATCCTTATGAAATAAAAATTCAGTATCATAATAAATGTTCTGTTGTTTTAGTGAGTAGGAAATGAGGAAGTTTTGCACATCGACCTTCTTGAAAGCCCTTTATTAGAAATTATGTTTTTGCCAAGCAAGGGTACTGCTATTGATCTCTTGAAATCTGGAATATGTCTCATTTCTGGGTGCTTTCTTTGCTGCTGTGATAAGATTGAGTTATACTTGTTGAGGCAGAAATTCCAATTAAGCAGAGCATGCTGAAAAACTTAGTGAGTAAACTTGGTTCAGAGCCATCTGAGATGAACTGAGGGGTACCTTGCTGGTTTACTGGGCATATTCATTAAGCAGACAGTTGCCCTTCATTCTGTCTCTTCTCCCTGTTTTAATTTTGCAGGGGGTTCCTAAGAAGTTTATTTCAAAGACTGATTCTTTTCCAATGAATTGGTATTCTGAAGGAACTCCTGGTATTACTATAGGTTCTGGAATATTACAGAATTTGTCTTAAAAAAAAAAAAAGTGTATAGTGACTAAAAGCTTAATTGTGTTTGGTCCCTAGACCCAAAGCAGTATACATTATTGTTGTGTATTATATACTGTGCTTAATTAGTAATTTTGTATATTTAGACTAAATGCAACTAATTATTGATTTTCCTCCTCCTCATTCCCTGTTGTAGATTTAGACTTTCTTGTACCGAAGGCTGGATTCTTCTGTCCAATTTGTTCCCTCTTCTACTCAGGTGAAAAAGCAATGACAAATCACTGCAAGAGTACACGTCATAAGCTAAATACAGAGGTAATCTTTATTTTGTTCTTAGCTCCTCATAAAATCTTCAGGTGGTGTTAGTGTCTTGTAATCGAACTACTTAACTGGCAACTCCAAATGTATATTCTTTCCCTTTGGTAGACCTTTTGAAAGTTTGTGGTGGTTTATTCCTCTTAAATCCAAAATTCTATTCTTTTCACTATGCTTTACCAGTAATTTTTTTCCTCTAGAAACATTTGCCAAAAGAGTCCACAGATCAGTAATTCCATGTGATCTTCCATTAAAGTCTGGGAAACTGTATTCTGGTGTCCTCTTACAGAGTTATGGGTATATAACATACTAAAGTTTATAAATTGTCTAGTCAGATAGAAGCTGTGTTACTTCATTTAATCCATTTCCTAAACGGATTCAATTAGTTCTGTGTTCCCTCCTAACCTCCCTCTCCTTTTTTTCCATGTTGTACATATATTTGGAAAGTGCTACTCTGAGAAGTCATCACTACCCATAGTTGAAGCAGTAATTCTGATTCCTCCTAAATGTTTGAGAGTTGTTCTTTACGTCCTCTCATACTTAATTTGTGGCACACACATTTATCAAGTGTTAAACTGTTAAATGCTAGCAGGTTGTTTAATCATCCCTCATCAGTTTCATGATGTAGATGCTACCCTAATTTCAAGAAAGGTGGAAACATGCTTAAAGAATATCTAAAACTAAATATCTAATCCTGAGGTGGCATAGCTAGTTAGTGGCAAACCTAGGGTTTGAACCTAGCTCTGTTTTATTCTAGGCTCAAGCCCTTAAATATTGTGGTATGCATCCTATTGCTCATGAGTTTAGCATGTCATTTTTCCATTTAAAATCTTTCAGAGGTTTCATATTAATGACACTTGCATACTACCAAACATCTTGTGGATCTGTAAGACCTTTTCCATAATCTGATTTTGCTCTGTTTTTTTGACCTCTGTTTTTTTTTATTGCTCACTGTGTTCTAGTTTTTCTGGCTCTGTTTTATTTTTCATACATGAAAACCCCTTTGCTGCCTTTATACCTTTATATCACTGTTCCTTTTCCTATCTCAGCCCCACATGAGTAGGTGATTCTTTAGCATCTTTTAGGTCTCAGTTCAAATGCCTGCTTCTCAGAAAGGCCTTTGCCTAAGAGAGATCTAGCTAACATAGAACATTCCCTCCCACTCCAAAAAAGTCAGCCTTAGTTAGCTAACTTGTGTTTTTTTCTGTATTGTGCCTACCACCATCCAAAATTATGTTTATTTTTTTCATTATTTCTTTTCCTCTAGTAGAATGTAAGTTCCATACGGTAAAGGAACCTTACCCGTCTTGCTGACCACTGACTCCCCAAGTACCAAATATAGTGCCTGAAATACCATAAATATGAGATGATGGAAAGAAGCAGTGTTAAGGCACTGTGTTTCTGATCTTTGTGAAGGATGTAACTTTTTTAAAGGATCAGGCATTTTTAATTGTAAATGTGGTGACATACTAGATAAGTTTATGAATATAGCAAATCACCATCTAATAATTTATATTGCAAATTGCTTTTAACAGAAGTTCATGGCCAAGCAAAGAAAGGAAAAGGAGCAGAATGAGGCTGAAGAAAGAAGCTCGAGGTGATTGGGGAAACTGGGAAAAAATTCATTAGAAATTTGTTTAGGGTCCAGTTGATTTGTGTATTTTTGTTACCACTTAATTTGTAATTTTTGTTTCAGAAGCAGATATTCATGTTGTACAAATTTCTGATTGCCCTCAATGTAGAGACTGATAGGGAAAGTATGATGGGTTTGATTTTTATATCAAATCATCAGGCATGGAGAAATATCTTTTAGAAGTGTTGAAATAAATGTTCCTACTGTATATTTAAAATACTGTCTTGTGTCTATGACTGATTTTTTAAAGATTTGTTTTGCTTTGCTCAACCAACAATGTATAGATCAAAGATTTCTAGAGACAATTCAGTTACATGTTTGAGCTAGGTAGGGTTGAATAAAACTTTGCTTGATTTTATTTTCTTTTTTTTAATGTGCTGATAAAGCATCCCCTTGCCCACGCTGGCCTCCCCCCCCCCCCCCGCTTAATGTCTGTTTCTGCCAGGACCCATTTAAGGTAGCTTCTAGCAGGTCATTTCATATTAGCTTGAAACTACTAAGCAACCTTTACGTCCCATACACAACTAGTGTCGCTTTTAATTTTTTTTAATTATTACTTAACATGTTTGTAAGACACCAAGGTACATGGAAATCCAGTGGATTGTTAGGTGCCGCGCACAGGTCTGTTATGTAAACTTATTGATTAGGCCATGTTTCAGACATAAGCCTGCTAATTTTGAATTGTTTGGTATTGAATTCCTCAGTTCTTCCAAGATTAGAATGCACTAGTTAATAGAAAAGGGTAAATGGAGGGAAGCGAAAACAACTATTTTTTCAGATTTCTTGTTCCCTTCACAACACAGGAGTTACCTCACAGTCAGTGAGAGAGCAGTGATGAACAAAATGCAGCAACTTTTTGTAGTTTACAAAAAAGTTTACAACTGCATTTTCAGTTCAGACTTAGCCACAACCTGAGCAAAGTAACAAAATACTGCATGCCACAGAGTAAGGGATGGGATAAGGAGGGAATTGTTTTGTGAGTGCCAAGAGTCTATTGTAATTAAAACCATACAGGTGAATGAGGCAGTGAGAGGGGGAAAAGCACTATTGAACTATTGGAGAATATATTTAGCTTGTATACCCAAGCTAAAGAAACACAGAATAAATAAAATCCTTACTTTTAAGGACTTTTCCTAGGGTTACTTCTTAAATTTTCAAAACCAAAGAAGTATGGAGACTCTTCTAAATCTTGTCCGGATCAGTCTTGGAGTTTAATCTTAAGTATAAATTTTCTTCAGGTCAGTTATCTGAAAATTGGATTCTTGACTAGAATTCAGGCACTTGCTAAAACTTAAATGTAATGGGAGTGATTTTTGTGTTTGCGCCTAGTGACAGGTGTTTATGGGTAGTTTATACATAGTAAATAATGTTCCTTTCTGCACTTAAGGCAATTTTTGTCACAGGGTTTCAAATACAGAAGATTTTTGTGGGTTTTTCTAAAAATAAAATACTCCACATGTAATTTTAGAATTGTTCTAGATGGACTTTTCCAGAAAACCCTGAAATACCTCACTCCTTTATTATTCACAGTACACATATGGAATGTCTCATATATAGCGTTTTCTGCTGCTTATTTGAGGGATATAGTTGGACTGCAGCTTACTTTTCAGTTTCTATCATTTCATCATCTAGATACCAAAGGAAAAAGATTGCATTTAACATCACTTCTATAAGTTTTTAGATTTTATTGCCTTTTCTAGCCCAGATGCTATGGAAGTCTGCCTCCCCCAAACTCCTTTTTGCATTCTTTATAAATAAATTCATGGGAATCAGGTTTTTGATATTTAAATCATTTGTGCAAAAATATCAAACATTTCAAAGACTAGGATAACTTATTCACCTATAATTATATCATTTCAACAATTATAAACTCAAGGCCAATTGTACACATGTATCTGTTCATATTTCTTACATTAAAGTAACTCTCAGTGTGCTATTTTACCCACAAGTATTTTATAGATTTCTGAAAGATTAGGGTTCTTTTTGGCAAAACAAATATTGTTAAAAATATCCCTATTCAAAAAAAAATAAATAAAAATATCCCTATTCAAGTATAAAAACCCAGTTCCAATTTTCTAATGTCTCATAAATGGTTTTTGTTCTACTGTGTTTGAATTGAGATCCAAATATGGCCCCTGTGTTATGGCTGGCTTTATAGGTCTTTCAAATTATTTTAAAAATATATACTTCCTTCTCTCTTTGGAATTTGTTGGGTGCAAATCCATGCTACTCAAAATGTGGTCTTTGGAACTAGTCCTGGTTCAAAACTACTTGGTCCCAGTTTGACTGAAAGTATAGAAATTGAGTGTGTTTAGAAACTTTTTTACCATTTGACAGTGACTTTATCTCTGTTGAATCTGACAATAAATTGGGGTTTGCAAGTTTTTGCATCTTACTCTTTTTTTTTTTTTTTGCATTTTACAAAGTATTAATCTGTGATGAGCTGGAACTTAGGGGGGGGAAAAAAGAAACTCTTCCATCACATAGTTTGAGAAGCTCTGCTGAAGGGTTTTCCACAGTTTGGATTTTGTTGATTGCCACTTGTATAGTGTAATTTTAACATCTTCTACCCTCAGAATATCTTGTGAATAGGTAATTTAATAAAAACTTTATCAGAAATTGTTTTTTTTACTTTGTCTTTCACAAGGCTGCTTTAGATTGTGATATGGTCTTCCTTTTTTAAAAAAAAAGATTTATTATTATTTTTTATTTATGCATACAGGAACTGGGGTGTAGGCCAGAGGTGCGGGGGGCTGAGAGGATTCACCAGAGAGAGTAGGGAGCAGAACAGGCAGATCTACTGAAATACATTGCTGAGGGGAGCAGAGAGGCAGACAGGAGAGGTCTGCTGCGCCATGTGGGTTGCTCCCTGGCCCTCTGGGGTGCTGCAGTGGCTGGCGATATCTTGATAGCACTGTCTTTAACCCCTGTGCCACCAGGGAGGCACCCTGGTCTTACTTTTCTTTTTTTTTCTCCAAAGATTTATTTATACAAGCACTGGGTACAGTCAGAAGCGCGGGAGGGTGAGAGAATTCACCAGAGCGGAGAGTAGAACAGGCAGACTAACGATACACTGCTGAGGGGAGCAGCGGATGGTAGGAGAGGTGTGTGCCCTCATGGGAGCCTCGCCTGGCGGCCAGGGATCGAACCAGCGCTGCAGAGGCTGCTGGCAGCTTCGCAACCCAGCGCTCAACCGCTGTGCCACCAGGGAGGCCCCTGGTCTTCCTTTTCAAGAGACAAAATCTTTCTGCTTTATTTGGGATTTTAGTAGCAGTTAATGCTTAAAATTTTGACTCATTTATCCATTAGGGATTGCAAAACGGTGATATTTTAATTCTGTATACTTTTCTGAAAAAAGGAACTTCCCCATTTCTGCTCTTTGGTTAGCCAGTGATATAATTTGAATAAGAGAGACATGTAAATATTTGATGCTTTTCCTTTATCAGTTTTTTCAAAATGAATTGTTTCATTGGCATTCGTGAACTGTGATACATTCTTTTTATTTAAGTATTAATTAGGACTCAAACATTTCAGGTTACTTAATGTTGCAAACCTTTGCATTATTCACCTTATTGATCTCAAATGGCTCCATTTTTGGCTCTCTTGATTCGACTCCTTGTAACTTTAACATGACACTACTAATTTTCATAGGTTTTTTTGCTATCCATCTCTCAAAATATTCCAGGTTCACCTTGTACACTTTGTGCTCTGGACCTGAAGTCAGCCATTTCATTAAGGAACAATGGATAGTTATAGCTTCTGTTGTGGTTATTACTTTTTAATGGACAGGATTTACAAGTATATGTTTTATTTTTAAGATTAAAGTACATCATGACCGTACTGATTCTTCCAATTCAAGTTCAGGACTTTAAGGTGGTGGTTCTTACTGTTGTTTTTAATCTCTTCTGTCTTAAATCTATATCTTCTTTGTCCTATGTCAGGAGCTCTAATTCTTAAGGGCCTCAGGTTGATAGAATTAATCTATAAAAAAACTGCTTAATTATATCTCACTTTACATTCATCACAAATAACAATACCAGGACCACAACCAACAATGTGATTACTCAAAAAGTCAAAATCATTGTACAATTTTGATCTTTTTGTCCCCTCTCAGATTACTTGGCATAGTTCATAAGTAGTTATGCTATGATTTAGATTAAATTTTTAAGCTCATTTGTTTAATTTCATATTTATTATCAGAGTTTAGCATTTAAAATTTTGTATTACCTGAGACATTTACATGGTCCTAAAATCAACCTTACAAGATCTATTCAAAGAAGTCTAGCTTCTCTCTTATTCCCCGCTGTTGTCTCCCTCTCTGACATAGGTAACCTTTCTTTGTTAGTTTTGTTACCAAGCCGTGTGTGTGTGTGTCTATGTATATATGGTTCATATCCGTGGGACAGTTTTTAATACTTTATGTCTCATGATTGCTAACATAAAAGGGGAACCAGTGACAACAATAAGAATAGAAGTTGAAGATTAAATAGAAATAGGAAATAACTGAATCCGCATAAAGCTAGATGAAGGAATTTGCCAGATGCTGAATCTTTTAATTTACAGGTCACAAAACTGATTCAATTACAGCAAGTCCATGAGCTGAAAAGGGAATTCTCTTGGTAAAGCTTTAGGTTTTTTTTTTTAAACAGGGTGGTTTTATAAGAACACTCAAAGATTTATAAAGAAGGATGGAGAAAAGGGTAGCAGTCTATGCCAAAGAATTCATGAAAAAGAGGAGTAAGTTGCTATGATTGACTCCTTTCCACTTTATTCTGCTCTGACATCTATAAAACTTCATCAGCAAAACATTACAGGCTTCTGAGGTAGGTACTAAAGTTTTTTTAAAAAATATATATGTTCATTTACTTATATGTATCAGGATCTTACATGAGAACGTGAACATAAAAAATACTTGACAACCTCACATATGGTAGATGCTTACTGATTAATACAGAGTTAACATGAAGTAAAATAAATGACAACAATTAAAGGGATTACAGAATAAAATGAAACACCACATTTTTACATTATTTGTGAAGGGGAACAATGTTAAGGTAGGTCAATTAAGAATCTGTGCTGCTAAAAGAAAAATAATACAAATTTATAGGTTAAAAAGTAAATAGAAAAGATGAAACGAAGACTCTTAGTAAGAGTCTAACCCATAAAGAAAAAGAAAGGGATCAAAAAGGACTGGAGACAAATAGAAAACTTACAGAAAGATGGTAGGTTTGTGTTTAACCATATCAGTAACTTTATTAAATGTCAGTCGATTATACATTCCAACTGGGTAATTTACGCTTGAACTCGGGTTAGCCTCTTTGCACTCCAGATGGCCTCTAAGCCTTAAAGATGAA